AACCCACAATGGAAAAATCTCACAAATTTAACTCTGTCAAGAGGAACTTCTATAGGAAAAAACAGCCGAGGAAAAGGGTACAAAAGCAGGAGATACCTGCCTCACTTGTAGCTAAGGATAATTTTCTGGTTATGTCACAGGCTTCTACATATTAATAAGAGGAAACTTCAAAAGGGAGGAAAAGTTCCAGCACTCAGGGGGTGAGGTGAGGCAAGAGGATCAAGATTCAAGGTCATTTCAGCTATATGTAGAGTTAAGAGCTAGCTTGAACTCAGGAGGCCCCGTCTTAAAAAAAAATGGATAAGACGCTGACAACTCAGGAAATTGATGGAAAGGTGTCAAAGAAATGCAAATTGACATGAAGCCACTTTCCACTGGTCAGGGGCGCAGTCAGGGCTTGATAATTCATGCAGTGTTGGTAAAGGTGAGGGACGGAATGTCTGTGCAAGGTGCACCTTGTCAGGGTAATCAGCAGTATTTGTCACCATGCTGGGGATACAGCCCAGTGTTTAGCACGTGTCTGCCACACATGCCCACACAAGAGAATCCCTAAAAGTGGGCCTAATGACACATGTTGTAACTTCAACACTTGGAAGATAGAGACAGGGATCTTCAAGCTCAGTGTTGCCTGGCAACAGAGCAGCCCTGTCTTAAGGCAAAATACAGCTGAAAAATTACTTAAGCATTTTATTGATAAATTGGTTGTTATTGTATTGTGGAGGGGAGCATGCTTGCCATGGTGCATGTGGAGGTCAGAGGGTGGTTTTATCACTGGTTCTCTTCCACCTTTACGTGGGTTCCAGGGATCAAGGAGTGCCAGGCTTGAGCAGCAAGCAAACACTTTACCTGCTGAGTCATCTCACTGACTGTTTTAATTTCTAAAAATCTAATGTTCATATACGAATGTGTCCAAAGATGAGTGCAGCACTGTCATGGGGTACCCTTCCCTCCTCCTTCCTTCTTTCATTCCTTTCTTTCTTTATTTCTGAGATAAGGTCGGGCTATGTAGCCCTGGCTAGCCTGGAACTTGCTGTGTAGACAAGGCTGGATTGTACTCTGCCTCATGAATGTTAGATTGCACATGAGCACTACTGTCCTTGACTGTCCTTTTGGTTTTTTGAGACAGGCTTGTGGTGTTGCCTAGTTTGGCCTCTGTCTCACAAAGATCTACCTGCCTCAGCCTCCTGAGCACTAATATTACAGATGTGAGTAACCAAAGCAACTACATAAACCTCTTACACCAGGGATTTGACTGTGGTGGCACATTTATACAGTAGAATATTCTGTACTCAGGAAAAAGAATGTACTACAGGAAGACCTTCAGGTTGTAGGTTAAAAGTTGCATTCCTTTTTTTTTTTGGTTTTTCGAGACAGGGTTTCTCTGTATTGTTTTGGAGGCTGTCCTGGAACTTGCTCTGTAGACCAGGCTGGCCTTGAACTCACAGAGATCCGCCTGCCTCTGCCTCCTGATTGCTGGTATTAAAGGCGTGCGCCACCAACGCCCGCTAGTTGCATTCCTTCTTGTGTGTGCAGTGCTGAGTTTCTCACAGGTGACCTTAGTTTTGAGAGAGGGTTTCTCACTGAATCTACAGTCTGCATAAAAGTGGAGAAACCGTCTCCACAAGGTTTTGGCTAGAGTGTCTGGCCTGCAAGCTCTAGGGTCCTTCTTTGTTTGTTTTAAATAGAAGGTGTTCATGCCTCTCAGCTGTAGACAACCACACCAAGGAACATAGAGGTTTGGCAGACAAGAGTAAAAGACATTTAATATACTAATTATTAGCTGGGTATTGGTGGCGTACGCCTTTAATCCCAGCACTCGGGAGGCAGAGGCAGGCAGATCTCTGTGAGTTACGAAGCCAGTTTGGTCTACTGAGTGAGTGCCAGTACAGGCTCCAAAACAATACAGAGAAACCCTGTCTCGAAAAACCAACCAACCAACCAAACAAACAAACAAAAATATACTAATTATTAGCTGGTGTGGATAAGGCAAGAGTACTGTTATGCCTTTTGAAACACTGTAGAACTGGAAGCTTGCTGTTAACTGCTTCTTGACTCCTTTGGGAACTAGATGGGAACCGCATTTCAGAGAAGCTGCAGCTAAGACTTTTTTCTTTGTTTTGTTTTTCAAGAAAGGGTTTCTTTGTAGCCCTGGCCATCCTGGAACTCTCTGTAGACCAGGCTGTCCTAGAATGCAGAAATCCACTTGCCTCTGCCTCCTGAATACTGAGATTAAAGGTATGGGGAGCCACCACCTGGCATTCTTTTTTCTTTTAAACAAAACCAAAAAACCTTAGATGGCCCAAATGATCCTTCTGAATACAAAAGAATCTGGTGCTGGGTTAATAGGCTTTGTTAACCAGGGTCATTGTATCCCTAGGTGAAATTCTCTCTGGCTCTTTTGACCAGCTCTCAGAGGGAGGAGTAGACAGTCAACTCCTATTTTGTTCTTTTGACTTGAGTCTTGAGATTTTCTCATACAGGAGGTTAATCAGAATGATGTTCGAGCTCTCTGAAGCTGGTTAGATGCTGCAGTGATGTCCTTGTGGGACTGCTCTGGTGACTTCAGTTCCAGTTTGCATGTTGTTAGAACAGAGCATGCGCATGATTATAAAGACAGGCAGTTCACATTGCTGCTTACCGGGGACCAGGCACTCAGTGACTAGCAGGCAGTGTCTTTGCCTCACTCTTCTGTAACACAAATAATAAGAGAGACTGATATTGGGGTTCAAGCTTCAAGCTGAAGATCAGAAAAGCAAGGCAGTCGGCCACTAGCTCTCACCTCTAGCTCAGGTTAAGAGGGCTGATCCACACACGAGCTCTTCACCAAGTCTCAAACTGCTGCCTCTCTTCAGTGTGTCTGGAGATAGAATGCCTCTCTGAGACATTGCTTCTCTTTTATATACTTCCCTAATGTTGGGATTAAAGGTGTGAGCTATAATTCTTCTCTAGATTGATTCACTCTTGAGTAGATCTGGGTGACCTTGAACTCACAGAGAGCCGTCTCTTAATCCTGAATACTAGGATTAAAGGTGTATACCACTACCTCCTAGCTTCTGGCTGCTGAGATTAAAGGTGTGTGCCTGACTTCTATGGCTTGTGGCTGACTTTGCTTTCTGAATCCTCAGGCAAGCTTTAATAAATCATAAACAGTATATCACCACACTCTTCACTCTTCCCAGGTCTGACCAGTTGTTACCTTAGGAACTGGGAATGAAACTCAGTGGGAGAGCACATGTTTATCGTGTTTAGGGAGGGCCCTGATTCCTATTCCCAGTAGTACACAAAAAGCTTTTTGTTTTTGTTTTGTTTTGTTTTGCTTTTGTGTAACAGTCCTGGCTGTCCTGGAATCCATTGGTCTCAAACTCGAACTCACTGAGATCCATCTGCTTCTGTCTCCCAAGTCCTGGGACTAAAGGCCACCACCGCCCCACTTTTTTTGAGATAGGGTCTCATATAGCTTAGGCTGTCACTGAGAACGACCTCCACCTCTCAAGTACTGAGATTTGGATGTGTACCCCACCCCCTGTTTTTGTGGTTTATCCATAATGCAGTACTGAGGTGGAACCCAGGGCCCCATTCATGCTAGACAAACACTCTGCCACTTGGGTACAGTCCCTGGCCTTGGATCCTAACATTTAATGTGGACTCTTATTTTCTGGGAGTATTTAGAAATGCCAGCCTCTAAAGACACAGGTCATTTAGCTTTAGCATCCATTCATTTGAGTCTTGGTGATTTGAAGTCTGTGATGGAGGTCTTAAATATTTTATTTAAGTATCCTGTGTGTGTGTGTGTGTGTGTGTGTGTGTGTGTGTGTGTGTGTGTGTGTGTGTGTGTGTGATATGCTATCAGATGAGTAGGGGTGCCCTTGGAGGGCAGAAGAGGAAATCATATCTGCTGGAGCTAAGTTACAGATTGTTGTTAGTCATTGTGTAGGTGCTGGGGGAAGCTAAACTCAGGTTCCTTTGCAAGAACAATAAGCACTCTTTTTTTTTTGTTGTTGTTGTTGTTTTTCGAAACAAGGTTTCTCTGTATTGTTTTGGAGCCTGTCCTGGAACTCACTCGGTAGACCAGGCTGGTCTCGAACTCACAGCGATCCTCCTGTCTCTGCCTCCCGAGTGCTGGGATTAAAGGCGTGCGCCACCAATGCCCGGCACAATAAGCACTTTTAACCGCTGACCCATCTCTTCAGCCACAAGAAGGAGAACTTGCTGGAAACTGGGGGGGAATCCTTTGAAGCCAATGCTGTACACAGTTGTCACTTTTGTCTTTTAAAGGACATTGTATTTGAAGTTCTCAGTGTGGGGTCCAGAAGCATGCAGTTTGCTACCTTGACAGGTGACACTGCCAGTTGAGTAAGGTAGTGTCTGCTGCTGGCATGGTGTGCACCTGTGTCTTATACTAGAGGCTGAAAGTGGGAGAGTTCAAGTTCTAGACTAGCCTCGGTTACATAGTGACTTCTGTTGAAAAGAAAAAACTCTGTTAAATTCTCAGATTTTTTTTTTTGAACAAGTATTCTGTGGTGAGGCAGCTTACAGTTATTTCTAGAAATACCTTGTTCTGTTTATATTTTGTGTATTTACCTCCACACACATATTAGAATGTTGAGCTTGCAGTCTGGTACCCTGCCAGTGTTCTGGTTCTTTCCTCTGCCTTTCTAGCAGTGAGACAGAACCTGGCTCTTATGAGCCTCAGCACCTGTCCTTATTCATGAAGTTGTTTGTGTTGTCTGGTTTCGTTCCGTGCAGATAATTTCTTGACCATGTGGATGACAAACCCACCAGTATGTCGGTGTCGTGTGAGCAGCCCAGCCCCACTGGCCATGCCCTTCTCCCACCTCCGGTGCCTGCCCCATGGCAGGAGCCCCGTGTCCCACCCAGGAAACGGGACTAGGGAGGAAAGGGAAAGGGCTCGCCAGAAGCTGGCTGTGAGTGCACTCAGCTGTGGTGGTGTGGGTGCTACTGAGGTCTCTGGTTCTCAGTGTCACCTTCCTTCCTTCCAGATGGTTTCACCCCAACATCACTGGTGTGGAGGCAGAGAATCTCCTGCTGACCAGAGGAGTGGATGGCAGTTTTTTGGCAAGGCCCAGCAAGAGTAACCCTGGAGACTTCACTCTGTCTGTTAGGTAAGTTGGAAGGTAAAAAGGACACTCAGGGTGTTTCTAGAGGAAGGTCGAGGCCACATTAGGCTGCCTCAGCCCTCCCCACAGAGTTTGAAGGCCCGTCTGCTGCACTGTGGAGCCACTCAGGGCACTGGCCAGTTCCTATGCTCTCTTTTTAAAGATTTTATTTTATTTTCTTTGGTTTTTCGAGGCAGGGTTTCTTTCTATTGTTTTGGATCCTGTTTGTAGACAAGGCTGGCCTCAAACTGCTGAAATTAAAGGCGTGCGCCACCAACACCTGGCCTTAAGATTTTATGTGTATGAATGGTATGCATGCATGTATGTATGTATGTATGTATGTGTGTTCTCCCTGTGTGTGCTTGGTGCCCACAGAGACTAGAAGAGGACATCAGATCCCTTGGAACTGGAGTCACAGACAGTTGTGAGCCACCATGTGGGTGCTAGGAACTGAACCCTGGTCCCCAGGAAGAGCAGCCAGCACTCTAACCCTGTTCCCATGCCTTTCAAGGTCCCTCAGACTCATAGCCTCAGGAAGCTGTGGAAAGGACCATTGGGCTTCTGTTCACAGCAGGGGCCAAGCATACCTTGGGCAGAGAGATACACTGGAGCCTCCAGGCTCTGACCTGCCTTCTGTGTATTTCTTTTCTGCTGTGGGTTTTGTCTGGGGGAACAGCCTTTGTAAGGTTCTTCACACCACTTTCCTTTGTCAAGAGCGAAAACCTCTGTGAGGAAGTTGTGGTCTCCTTGAGTCCCCTGCCCAGTCCTGTGCCCCTCCTTTCTCCAGAGGAAGCCATTGTCCAGAGGTTGCATGGATCCTCCTGATGTGTTGCACTTGTGTTCTCAGCATATTAATCATTCTGTAATTCATACATCCATTGACGTGCTGTTTGAGTTGCATGCTGGGACATCTAGCTGTTCATTGTAATGGCTACTCAGTGGTCAAGTGGTGCAAACATACTAGCTTCTCCATTCTTCTAGCAGTGGACATTGGGAGGCTTTGGTGTTTTTTCAATCCTTGGGAGAGGGTAATGCATCCTCACGGTCCCTTTGAGTAGGAGTCTGAGAGTTTTCTAGATGACGTTTTCTATATGCCCATTCTGGCTGTTCAAACTGAAGTATATGGATTTGATTTTATAGATACTACTTTTCACATAAAGAGATGAGTAACTTATGTCCTTGAGGATTTATTTAGACTTTCCATTGAGACTTAGGAAGTATCTGTTTCCTTGTTCACTTATTTACTCATTTACTTGTTTGTTCATTTATTTATGACACAGGGTTTACTAGGGAGTACTGGCTGGCCTAGAACTTGATATATAGACCAGGTTGGCCTTGAATTCACAGAGATCTACTTGCTTTGTGTCAGGAATACAGGCACACTCCATACCATGCCAGCTCCTTCAGCCTTTTGAAAGAAAGCTGTGAGTAAGGGAGTCTGTAGGACTTTAGCCTGAGCCTTACATAGAAGAGATGCTCGCACTGCCTGGACAGTGTCACCCACTAGGGAGTGCATGGCAGACTTCTGTATTATTCGTTAGGTTTGAATATACTTGTTTACTGCTGTGTGTGTGATGTGTGTGCTTCACAGTTGCCTCCTCCTGCCACAGTTTCTGTGGCTCCCAGGAGCTAGGTTTAGGTTGTCAGGTTTTTCATGCTGAGGCAGCTCAATACCCCCAGATTTTTTTCCCCCAGATTATTTTTTAAGAAAACATTTTTTTTACATGTATTTGGTGTGTGTGTGTGTGTGTGTGTGTGTGTATGAATGTATAGGTTGGAGGACAGCTTTGGGAGTTAGTTTTCTGCTTCCACCACCATGTGTGTCACAATCTCCCTTTAGCGATTAAACCATCGCACTGGGCCCTGGTTGATTTTTTTTTTTTTCTTCCCTGAGACAGGGGTTCTCTGTGTATAACAGGCATGTCCTGGAACTCACTCTGCAGACCATGCTGGCCTCAAACTCAGTTTGCCTGCCTCTGCCTCCCAAGTGCTGGGATTAAAGGCGAGTACCATCACTCCCCCTCTGGCCCTGTTGATTTTTGTTATTGGATCTTTTTGTTTTGTTTTTGAGACATGATCTCATGTACCAAAGGCTGTCTTTAAACTTCTCACCCTCCTGCCTCAAACTCCTAAGTGCTGGGATTATAAGTGTGCATCACTATACTTTTTTTTGTTTTGGTTTTATGCGACAGGGTTTCTCTGTATTGTTTTGGAGGCTGTCGGTCCAGCCCGGCCTTGAACTCACAGAGATCCGCCTGCCTCTGCCTCCTGAGTGCTGGGATTAAAGGCGTGCGCCACCACCGCCCGGCATCACTATACTTTTTAGGCATTATTTATATATTTAAAATCAAGCCTTTAAAATTTCTTATTTATTTTAAACATGGTCTTGCTCTATAGCCCAGTGTCCATCTGCCTTAGCCTTCCAAGTACCTGACTATTGGTATATTTTTGTGATAAATATTTTGAGTTTCTGTCATTTATTTGTCTGTTTTTAAAAGTCTTTTGATATCTATTTTTATTGCCTTTGGGCAAAAATGATTAGGAGTGGATTTGCTGGACATCGAGGTAAGTGGGTATTTTGATTTCAACTTTAACAGTGTGTCCTTGATTGTTAAAGACAGTACTTGTTGTCATTTAACCTATACTGTAAAATAGGCCAGTCATTCTAAATGGGAGCTACCCAGGGCACAGGCACACACCATGCTGTAGGTTGGCATAGTTGATGGGATTATTTGACCTTCAGTTTCAGGGATGGTTAAATCTTTTCAGGGGGTTTGTTCCAATGTTTGGGTGAAATCTTCTACTGAATGTGAGGTCTCTTTTTCCAAGTATTACTCTTTGACATCCCTCCCCCAATGGACTATTTTAGAAGAAATGGAGCTGTCACCCACATCAAGATTCAGAACACTGGGGATTACTATGACCTCTATGGTGGGGAGAAGTTTGCCACCTTGGCTGAACTGGTCCAGTATTACATGGAGCATCATGGGCAGCTGAAAGAGAAGAATGGAGATGTTATTGAGCTCAAGTACCCCCTGAATTGTGCGGACCCGACCTCTGAAAGGTCAGTGACTGATGTGGAGGATTACCATACACAGGATAGGGACGTCGTACTTTTTTTTTTTTTTTTTTTTTTTTTTTGGTTTTACGAGACAGGGTTTCTCTGTGGCTTTGGAGGCTGTCCTGGAACTAGCTCTTGTAGACCAGGCTGGCCTCGAACTCACAGAGATCCACCTGCCTCTGCCTCCCAAGTGCTGGGATTAAAGGCGTGCACCACCAACGCCCGGCGTTGTATGTTATTTTATTAGGGAGAAATCACTTAAGTGAGAAGCCGAGAACTGAGGTCAGCACTCTGCTGGTCTCTGACCTCAACCAGAACCCCAAGAGAGAAAATGACCCCTCCTTCCTTGCCCTTTATCTCTGCCATCCCCCATGTACTTGTGACCATGCCCAAACGGACGTGATCAGTGCTGCGGTACATGAGATCTCTATCTACAAGTGACATGTTAGTGCAAATCAACACTCTTGGGCTCTGTTCTTCGTGCCTGCCTTGTGGGGTGCATAGGACCTGTGTGACTACAAGGCTGGTGTCTATCTCTTATATTGTCAGTTTTAAAATGTTATCTTTTGCTGGGCGGTAGTGGCGCACGTCTTTAATCCCAGCACTCGGGAGGCAGAGGCAGGCGGATCTCTGTGAGTTCGAGACCAGCCTGGACTACCAAGTGAGTTCCAGGATAGCCTCCAAAGCCACAGAGAAACCCTGTCTCGAAAAACCAAAAAAAAAAAAAATGTTATCTTTTGTTTGTGACAGGGTTTAGTGTAGTTCAGGGTGGTCTGGAACTCATTGTGTAGCTGAGGGTGACTGAATTGTTGATCCTTTTGTCTCTACCTCCTGAGTGCTAGGGTTACAGACTTGCCTCACCATGCCTGGCTTATGTGGTACTGGAGGTTGAGCACAGACTTGGTCATGCCGGGGAGGCTCTCTAGACACTGAGCTACATCCCCATTCCTGTGCTGTATTAAAGTAAGAAAGATGCGCCAGAGCATTTGCAGAATGCAGTGTTCCTTACACAGATTCCACGGGGCTCTCACATTTTCCCCGAGTAGATTTAGTGTGTGCTTTAGTTGTAAGATTTGTCTACAGCTGATGATCTTTGGAGCCTGGAGAGAAAACAGGAGATGCTGAAACAGCATCACTGTTCCTTGGTGGCTCAGACCAGTTGTTCAGTAGAACTACCAACAGAGGTCAGGCTAAGTCCACGGCTCTTCATCCTCTCTCTCTCTCTTTTTTTTTTTTTTTTTTTTTTTTTGGTTTTTTTGAGACAGGGTTTCTCTGTGGCTTTGGAGGCTGTCCTGGAACTAGGTCTTGTAGACCAGGCTGGTCTCGAACTCACAGAGATCCTCCTGCCTCTGCCTCCCGAGTGCTGGGATTAAAGGCGTGCGCCACCACCGCCCGGCTTCTTCATCCTCTCTTAATGTGCGAGCATGACTGCAGAGAACTGCCACTGTGTCCCTAGAGGACTGCCACAGGGTACAGCTCTTCCCTTGTGTTTGGAGTTGAGAGCTAGTGCTTGCTTTATTTGCCCTGGCATTGGGCTTCTGCAGTCTCCTTTCTGATTGCAGGTTCTGGGTCTGTGTATCTTGTCTTTCCTGATTTCTGTATTATATGCATGCCATATTAAAGCTTGACTGATAGCTCAGTGTAGTTTGAAGAACTAGACAGCAGATTGATAGACATTTAAGTACAGGTTGGAAATACAGAAAAATCTGAAATTCTTTGAATTTATAACAAAGATCCTTTTTTATCTAATGTCAAAATGAGTACAGATTCATGATTATTTTGTCTCTCTTATAACTTGTTTATTTGTTGCTTGAGTCCAGGTTTCATGCAGGCCGGGCTGGCCTCCTGATGGCTGTGTGACTGAAGGTGACTTGTGCTCCTCATCTTTGCCTCCATTCCCTGGTGTATGATGTCTTAGTCAGGGTTTCTTTTTTTTTTTTTTTTGGTTTTTCGAGACAGGGTTTCTCTGTATTGTTTAGGAGCCTGTCCTGGAACTTGCTCGGTAGACCAGGCTGGCCTCGAACTCACAGAGATCCGCCTGCCTTTGCCTCCAAAGTGCTGGGATTAAAGGCGTGCGCCACCACCGCCCGGCTCTTAGTCAGGGTTTCTATTACTGTGATAAGACACCATGACCAAAAGCAACTTGGGGAGGAAAGGGTTTATTTCATCTTACAGTTTATAATCTATCATCCAGGGAAGTCATGGTAGGAACTCAAGGCAGGAACCTGGAGGCAGGAACTGATGTAGAGGCCATGAGGGGATGTTGTTTACTGGCCTGGCCTCTTGGTTTGCTCAGCTTGTCTTCTTATAGCACCCAGGACCACCAGCCCAAAGAATGGCATGGCCAGCAGTGGACTGGCCTCCCGCATCAATCATCGGCTAAGTGAATTCATCATAGGCTTGCCCACAGACCAGTCTGTGTTATGCCAAGATTGAATCTGGTAGGAACATTTTCTCAAATTGAGGCTCTCTGTTCCCAAATAACTCTAGTTGTATGAAGTTGATATAAAACTGGTAAGAACACATGAATTATAGGCATGTGTCACCAGGCTTGTAACTTTTTCTTATCTCTTCACTAAATGGCTGGTAATTCAACAGTTGGTCCTTTAGGGCTTTAGACACTTAAAAAATGTCAACTGTACTTTTGAAAGATGGGAGATTTAAGAGGAAATAGGAGGCACTGAGGATATTGTGCCCCCCTCCAGGTTTCTCTGTATAGCCCTGGTTGTCCTGTAGACCAGGCTGGCCTCAAACTTAGACATCTACCTGCCTCTGCCTCCTGAGTGCTGGGATTAAAGGCATGTGGCACCATCATTGTCAGATGCTGTTTTCAAATGATCCTAGGCTCCTTTTTAAATTTAGTGGAGGCTAGGTGTGGTGGCACTGTCTGTAGTCTCAGCACTCAGGAGCCTGAGGCACAAGGATCTATGGCTCAAGACCAACCTGGGGCACACAGTGAGATAGTCTCAAAAAAGACGAAACAAACTTTAGTTGTCATTTTTAGCATATCTTTGTCATTTTTCCTGTTTGTTTGGGATGCAGAGTCTGTGTATTCACACATTACATCCCCTGGAGTGTCTGTGTGGAACCTGTGTTGAGGAGAACTGACCGAGTGTGGTATATGAAAAACAGAGCACACCTGAGCTGAACTCAGCTTGTTTTCTTTTCAAACACGTAGGTGGTTCCATGGTCACTTGTCTGGAAAAGAAGCAGAGAAATTGCTAACGGAGAAGGGTAAGCATGGCAGCTTCCTTGTTCGAGAGAGCCAGAGCCACCCTGGAGACTTCGTTCTCTCCGTCCGTACCGGTGACGACAAAGGGGAGAGCAATGATGGCAAGTCCAAAGTGACCCACGTCATGATCCGATGTCAGGTAGAGAGCCACGGGGACTGTGGGTCTGGTGCAGTGGCATCATGGGGACTTGTGCTGAGACACACACATACATCCAGATTATTTTATCCTTGATTACTTGCTCAGGGCTGTCTCTCCTGTGTATGACTCATTGTTTTGAAGCACTGTTGCTTTTGTTTTTCTTTCCTTTTTTTTTTTTTTTTGTTTTTCTGTTGGCTTTTTTTTTTTTTTTTTTTTTTTTTTTTTGAGACAGGGTTTCTTTGTGTAGCCCTGGCTGTCCTGGAATTCACTTTGTAGACCAGGCTGGCCTTGAGCTCACAGCCTGCCTCTGCCTCCCCAGTGGTGGGATTAAAGATGTGAACCACCACTGCCCAGCTGTTTTGTTTTTCTGAGACAGGATCTCTCTGTGTATCCCTGGCCGTCCTGAAACCATGTAGACCAGCTAGGCCTGGAACCTACAGAGATCTGCCTACTTTTGCCTACCCACCCAGTGTTGCCACTATGCCCGACTTTCCATTTTAGATTTTCTTTTGGGTCCATCTCTGACAGATGCTTCAGTGCACATTGCCCCTGCTCTGTGGGATCGGCTGCCCTGAGGAGTGTCACAGGTGGGTGACACTGCACTTGGCCCTCTGTGTCTACAGATCCACCCCCTGGGGCCAGCAGCCTTCAGCATCCTGTCTGTCTAAACATGTGCACTGATGCCACGCTAGGCCTTGTGAGGAGTCTGGAGGTGATGGGAAATGTGTTGCAGCCACTTGGAGTTTATTTGATTTTGAATTAAGTGTTGTCATTTCTTGTTTCTGATGCTGGGATGGAACCGAGCACCTGATCCACCACTGGGTACCCCCAGCCCGCAGCCCCCCTCCCCCCCTGCTCATCAGTGCTGTTGCTTCCTTTCCTCCGCAGTACTGTGGACACTGGGCTTTCTGATTCTGGGTATCAGTCTCTGGCTTTTGGTTGGATATCGTTTAGTTTTTTGCATTCAGGCTCCTTAAGTGTACCCATCACCTTGTAACACTTCAGGTGCCCTCCTGGCAAATCTCAAGTGCATGTAACCCTATCCACTGTGTCACCATGCTGTGGGTTGTCCTGAGCCTGTTCACAGAGAGGGTCTGTGTGTCACCAGTATCTTCTGCACCCGAGTCCTTCATAGCCCTGTTTTGATTTCGTCACTATGTTGGACTTATTTTTTTGGGTGTTGCATGTAAATGAGGTGATTTACGTTCCTTTCTACTTGGCGCATTTGATTTACTGGCAGGGCCTCCTGCCTCACCCAGCTGTAACCAATGATAGGGTTTTCTTCTCAAGACCCAGTGTGTCTCTACTGTGGAGACATGGACATGATACATGTGTGTCTTGTTCTTATTATGCCCTCTAGACAGACATGTGGCTTGGTTATACAGGTATATAGGTGAAATGTCACTAAGAATCCAGTGCAGGAGGGTGGGAAGACAGCAAGCCTAGCATGAGGTAATGGGCACTGTCTGCTTGGTCTTGAAAGGAACTGAAATACGACGTTGGTGGAGGAGAGCGCTTTGACTCTTTGACAGACCTGGTGGAGCATTACAAGAAGAACCCCATGGTGGAGACGCTGGGCACAGTCCTGCAGCTCAAGCAGGTCAGGAAACTGAAGCTGCTTCAGCTAACGTTGGGAGAATCCTAGCATGGAGTCTCCCAAATATGTGTATCAGTCAGCATCTGCCACAAGATACATAAAGACTACTGGTTAATAGGGGGAACCTCTGCCTCCCGAGTGCTGGGATTAAAGGGCTCAAAGGAGTCAGCCCACAGCTACTTGGTGCTGCTGCTTTGGGCCTGTGGTGGCACATTTACCATGGTGGGAGCACTTGGGGGCTGTTTACCACATGGCTGAGAATGGAGACAGGAAGGGCCCTGATCTGCTTCAGTGACCTGCCCCCGCCTTCCTCTAGCCTTGTTTTCTAAGTAGACCCTACCTTCCCTACCTTCTAAAAGTTCTGCCACCTCCCAGTCACACCTAGGGTTGGGACCAAGCCTTCACCGTGTGACCCCTTGGATGACGTTCAGGATTCATAGTGTAATGCAGAAGTAGACAGAATATCAATAGTTCCTCATAGTGCGCCCATCCGCAGTCGTGGTCAGTCATGCCATCTCTAGTTTCTTCACTCACAGATCACCTCCTTTAGTATTGGAAACAAATTCTAGATGCTGTGTCATTTCCACATTTGTGAGAGACCTCACAGAGTGTTAGTATTGGGGTTGAACCTAGGGCACACCACACTTGAACTCTGAGATCTATGACCTGCCAGTCTCCTTACAGAGGAGGGATTTGTGCATGTTAGGTGAGTGCTCACCCGTGAAGTACATCCCAGAGCTCACTTGTAGACTTTACTTTGTCCTTTGTTTTTGATAAATAATCTTGTCAGCACTATGGAGGCAGAGGCAGGTGGATCTCTGTGAGTTTAAGACCAGCCTGGTCTACCAAGCAAGGCCAGGATAGGCTCCACAACAATACAGAGAAACCCTGTCTCGAAAAAACCAGATAGATAGATAGATAGATAGATAGATAGATAGATAGATAGATAGATAGATAGATAGCCTTGCCATGTAGCTGTGCTAGTCTCATAGCTTTCCTACCTCCATGTTGGCCTTAAACAAATGTGCTCTTGTGCCCTTTAAAAGAAGTCTTCAGGGGCTTAGTGGTTGGGAGCATTGACTGCTCTTCCAGAGGACCTGGGTTCAGTTCCCAGCACCCTCTGTAATTCAAGTTCCAGAGGCTCTGACTCACACAGACATGCAGGTCAAACGCTAATGCATATTAAAAAAAAGTGTTCACTGCAAATTACCATTAGTTCCCTTTTGGACTCATGCTTTCTCAGCTTGGAGTCTTTGCTGTTTCACTTTAAAAAAAAACTTTTTATTGATTCTTTGTGAATTTTATGTCATGTACCCCAATCCCACTTGTCTTCCCACCCTTCTTCTGCCCTTGCATTGCAATCCCCCAAAAAGAAAACAAACAAAAATACATCTCTCAGTGGACGCTGTGGTGTGTCACACAGTAGACCCTTTTGTCCAAACAGCTTCACTTGCAAATGTTCATTGCAATGAGTCATTGGACTGGTTCGAGGCCTCTGGCTTCTGCTGCACCATCAATACTGGATCCTCACCTGGAATCCTCTCGAATATCCTGTTGCTCTGTGTTGTGGAGATCCTGCAGCTTGGTTCTGCCGGATCGGCTCCTTCACACACTCCAGCCGTTCATGGATGGGGTAGATGCTGGGGTGGGCCAACTCAAAGCCCTGAGTGTGGGACTGGGCGGTAGCTGAGTTGGTCAGCTCTCCTGCACCCTCGACACCAGGGCCAGCTCTCCCAGTTTGCCCAGGTGAGGGGTGGGGCCAGTTCTCCTGCCTGTGACAGCTGGCAAGGAGCAGGACAGGTTCTCCAGAGCTCAGCTGTTTCACTTTCATGACAGTGGTCCCATCTGGAGATCATGCTGTAATTTAACTGCCTAGAAAACTAGGTTTGAATTTGTATCAGCTGTGTTCCTAACTTGTTCATTGAGAGTGAAGAGGCATTTACCCTGATGGACAAGAGAGAAAGTGAAAGTGCTTTTCCAGAGTTTGCTGGTGGGGCTGGCTCACGGTGGCTCTGGTAGAGGGCTGCTTCTATCCCTGCAGCTCACCTAAACAAGGAAGGGAGACCCTCTTGTCAGTGCTACCCCTGATCTCTGCACACGTCCCCATCATGAACACATGCACACACATCACAGGCACCACACACAGATACACACTCATGCATGCACATAGGCACCCGCATACATGGAGACAGACAACACATACAAATGCACCACACAAACACAAGCACACCCATGTGTGTGCACAGATACACAAATGCATAAGTGTACACACAGATGCATACATACATGCAGAAGCACTCAAACATGCACATATTTGGGATGATGTGTATCATCCTGCCTTTGCTTTTGTGCAGTCTTTTTCTTTCCATGTTAACATTGTTAAACATGTTTTCTTCCTTTCCCACCACTGCTGAACACAACAGCCTCTCAACACTACTCGTATTAATGCTGCTGAAATCGAAAGCCGGGTTCGAGAGCTAAGCAAGCTAGCTGAGACAACAGATAAAGTCAAACAGGGCTTTTGGGAAGAATTTGAGGTAAGTCTCTGACAGATTGCTTTTGTTTTTGTTTTTTGCTTTGTTTTGCTCTTTTTGTTTTTGTTTTTGTTTTTTCGAGACAGGGTTTCTCTGTAGCTTTGGAGGCTGTCCTGGAACTTGCTCTGTAGACCAGGCTGGCCTCGAACTCACAGAGATCAGTCTGCCTCTGCCTCACGTGTGCTGGCATTAAAGGTGTGTGCCACCACCGCCGACCTGACAAATTGTTTTTATTTATTTATTTATTTTTGTTTTTTTGAGACAGGGTTTCTCTGTGGCTTTGGAGACTGTCCTGGAATTAGCTCTTGTAGACCAGGCTGGCCTCGAACTCACAAAGATCCGTCTGCTTCTGCCTCCTGAGTGCTGGAATTAAAGGCATGCACCACCAATGCCCAGCTTGACAAAGTGTTTTTTAAATAATTTATTTTATGTGTATTAGTGTTTTGCCTGCATGTATGTCTATGTGAGGGTGTCTGGTCTGCTGGAACTAGATTTACAGTGATCCACCATGTGGGTGCTGGGGATTGAACCCAGGTCCTCTGGAAGAGCAGTCAGTGCTCTTAACCATTGAGCCATCTTTCTAGCCCCATGACAAGTTGTTTTCATGTGAGTTATTAAATGCTGTTTTAACAGGTGAGAAGAAAGTTTTATGCTGGGGTCTGGCTTCCTTTGTTGTGGCATAGAGCAGATCACCCAGGGGACTTCTTTGAAGCAGAAAGACATTGTGTTCCTGGGAAGGGGTTGGCAGCTTGTCTCAGATGGCTGAGCCAGCAGCTCTATTTGTTGGTTCAGACCACTGGCAGGACCCCAGAAAAACAAAAGGATTGAATTCCTCTGGCATGCAAGGCACTTCAGACAAATTGAAGCTTCATTGCTTTGAGTGAGGCCAGTAGAAGGCTCTGGTTTGTTTCAGCTGCGAGTTCACGCTCATAACAAGTTAAGGGGCTGATGTCTGTCCTGAGTCCTATTCAGGTGTGAGCCTGTCCATGCCTCTGTGTGCTCATATGCTGCTGACCCATATATCCTCTGGTCTGTCTTTCTCTCCTCGTGCATTTGACCAGAGATTTGGCCTCTTTCCTTCCACAGCCATACTCCTTATGTCACTCATATCTGCACACAGCTCATTTTATATTTTGTTTTTGTTTTTTTGGGCCTGGGTTTCTCTGTAGGTCTAGCTGTCCTAGAACTCTTGCTCTGTAGGCCAGGCTGGCCTTGAACTCACAGAGATCTGCTTGCCTCTGCCTCCTGAGTGCTGGGATTAAAGGTGTGTGCAGATATGCCTAGCTTAAAGAATATTTTTAATTTATTCTTTGATAGTTTGATATACAGCTGTCTTGCTGATACCCACCCTTATCCATTTCCCCCTCCCTCTCCCCACTTTCTGTTTTACAGGAGTGGTTAGTTCGAGCTTTGTATAGGACTTGAGGATTCACAGTTATTTGTGCCACCATGTGCCAGGCAGCTTTCGGAGAGAAGTGCTAGTTCCATTCCACAGAGGAGCGTGAGGTCAGAGAGCTCAAGTAGAGTGTCCTTCTTTAGCACAGACACTGATAATCCCAGCTCTGGGCATGGGTCCATTCTAGAACATTCCTGGTGCTTGCTCCTCAGTGATGGGTGGGGACTAGAACTTGGGTTTGGTCTCATACCCAAGCTTTGGGGCGAGCTCTTCACACACTGTGGGAGGAGGGAGGATGCAACAGACAGGGTTTCCACCACTCAGAAGTGTCTTGTTGAGAGAGGGAGAACAGAACAGGGATGAGGGAGTCAATGGTAGTGTGATGAGCGTAGAATGAGGCATCTTTAAATTCTTTGTTTAGCTATTGGTCCTGTGGATTGAATGCAGGCAGAGCATGTGATGTCCCATTGAGCTGTACCCCACCCATCTTGTCACCAGTACCTACATCCTTGCTCACCAATCAAATACTGGATTCATTTCTTTTTATTCAGTTTTAAAAATCATGTTCTCCAGCATATTAATTACTGTAAAATAACGGGTATTTGGTAATGCAGACTTCAGCATGAGAGTTAAGAGAGAAAGAGGAGCTGGATGGATGGCTCAGCTGTTGAGAGCTTATTGCTCCTGTGGAGGGCCAGCCATCTTAATTCTCCAGTGGCGCCTCCCTCACCACTCCCCACCCCAGGTTCCCCTCACCTAATTTTGGCTTGGTTATCTTAAAGATAGAAGAGATGATAGGCCTCAGCTTGAGATATACATACATGTTCAGGTTTGGCCTGTACCATTTCAGCCCTGCTGTGGGAAACAAAAGCCTGCCATGCCAGGCCCTTCGGTCAGGAGGTGAGGAAGAAGCTGGGAGTTTGCCATTCTCTATGTCTATTTGTGGCCCCTTTCCCTGTCTGCACCTGTCAGGTCTGGCTCCTAGTCCCTCACCTCCCTCCCAATGCGGGATTCTGGTATGTACCAGCAGCCCAGCTCACCCTTGCTGTGGCCGTGGAAAACAAATTGTAGATGCCTTTCTGTGTGATGTATCAAATTCAGCCCACCCTTTATACATCACTAACAACAGAAAAGGGCAAAAGTGAATGGCTTTGGGTGTGGGGTGTGGAAAACAGTCAGGGTCCCATCTGTACTGCCCGGTGGGACACAGTGTCAGAGCATTGAGGAGTCGTGCAGATGAAGCTGTCTGTATGGATGAGGGCCAGCTTTCAACATCTCTCATTACCCCTCCTCTCCAGTTAAGTCTGGAGTCAGCGGCATGAACCTAAGGATAGAAAGGCCACTGCAGGGGGTTGGAAGTGCACCCTTTTAATTTCAGTCCCCACAAGAACTAAAGCTCTAGCCACACCCATAGGACGCTGTTATGTTAGTGAACACATCAGAATTGTTTCCTGTGCACTCTAATGGGGGACCTGCCTTCCCCAGTGCACTCTAATGGGGGACCCGCCTTCCCCAGTGCACTCTAATGGGGGACCCGCCTTCCCCAGTGCACTCTGATGGGGCCCACCTTTCTCAGTGCACTCTGATGGCGGGATCCCACCTTTCTTTCTCCATGTTGTTTTGATGGCTTTTCAAAGTGAATTCTACAACTTGAGTTGCTGCAGGGCGCTGTTATTAGAAGAAGGAGGTTGGAGGGAGCAGGTTGTGAAGACATCAGCTTTTACTTGTTAAGAGGATTTTTTTTTTGTTTTATTTTATACCTCTTCAGTCTTCAGCTTCCTGCCCTGGGGGTTTTCTTAGGGGAGCCTTCCCCATGCCCCATCCCCATTGCAAGCTGGGGACTAGATGTTGTATGTGTGCATAGGAATTTATGATAATCTGTGTTGTTATTGTTTTAATGCACCACAAATCCATAGAAGCAGGTAACTTTAGTGAGTCTGTTGGGGGAAAGGAATGCTTTGCCCACATGAAGCTGCTGAGGGTGCAAGAGGGTGTATGCCATCTAGGAAAGTGACCAGTGCATTGAGGGCCAGGACAGTCCTGCTTGGTTCCTTGTAGCTTCAGAAGCCAGCAGACAGCCCTTGCCCCCCACTCCCATGTGGGCTTCAAATAAAGTTTTGTGGATGCATGGAACCTGAACTCTTGAGAGAGCTGTGTTGTGTTCAGGCCTTGGGTCTAGATTTGATGGCTTGGAGTCATGTTCTGGATTTTGCTTTGAGAAATCCTCTTTACTGGTACACATACAGCTTGCTTCCATGAATCTCTGATGAAGCCTGAGGTGTGTGCAGCTGAGACGGAGTTCTCTGAACACACAGGTGTGTGTGCAGCTGAGACGGAGTTCTCTGAACACACAGGTGTGTGTGCAGCTGAGATGGAGTTCTCTGAACACACACGCCCCATGTGTGCAGCTGAGACGGAGGCCTCTGAACACACACACCCCATGTGCGCAGCTGAGACGGAGGTCTGATTTAGGCTCACAGGGCTGGACTTGAGAAAGATTTGTGTTTCTCAACTCTGATTAAATCTGCAACACATGACAAGGGGGGAAAATCCACAAGACAAAAATCATAGAACACCTGATTTCCTGGGGTCACTTTCCCAGTAAACTCCTTTTCCTTACTAACGTCAGTATTCTGGACTACAGTTTCTCCTCCCTTCAGAGGGCACCTGTCCAGTCCTGGCCTGCAGTTCTGCTTGCTGGAGGCTGGGAGGAGCCCTGGGGCCTTCACCTGCAGACCTCCCTGATTTCCCCACAGTGACTCAGTCCTGCTTGCAGGCACTGTGACTCTCCTCCAACGTGGCTTTACTGAAATGAGCCTTCACTCCACCCCAGGGCTCTGCTTAGCGTTATAATTCTTGCTGGTGATCTCTGGTGGCCATCTTCCTCTGGTGACTAAGCAGTCAGCACTGTAGGAAAGCCCCCAATCAGGCTCTAGCTGCAAACTCCAAATGCTCCAGGTCACAGGCTAATGGCAAATCAGAACCTTCCCTGGAGGCCCCAGCTTGAGAAAGGAGCACCATCTTGTTGGGCAGAGAGTACTTTCAGGGTCTGAGGTTTCCTTACTCAATCTAAGCTCAATCCAGTTTCCTACACCACAGTTCTCCCTCTGTTCCCCTCTCATACTCTTTAGGGTTTTGTTGGCTGTGGCTCTGGAACTACACATGCCCATGTGTTCTTCCCCTTCTGTTACCCCTTGGCATGGATGACCTTACTGCTTCCTCTTAGGTCATGAGTGGCCCTGATGTAGCTTCCGTTTCTTTTCACCCCCTTACTTCTTGAACCTTCCTTCTTTATTGTGGTATGTCATGTTGGAAAGATGCCACTGGAGTTTTTGTTATTCAAGACAAGGTCTCATGTAGCCTTGACTGGCCTCAAACTCATTATGAGGCTGGGGAGACCTCGAACTCCTTGCCTCTGCCTTCTAAGTAGCCAGTTTGTGCAGTGCTGGGGGATAGGCCCACTACCAACCGAGGTACACCCTCAGCGCCCTTTCCCTTTTTTTCAGCATTTGGGACAAGCATGTGCTGACCTCCAACTAAGTAGTGGGTTCACAGGCATTCACCAACATGCCTTGCTGTTTTTTGTTTTTTGTTTTTTTAATTTTAATTTGAGACAGGATCTCTCCCTCTTTGTCTCCCTCCCCTGCCAGCTCCCCATTCCTTTAGTTTTCCTGCATTTTTCTGATCTGTCACAGGAGCACACCCCCTGCCTTGCCTGTCCCTTCCTGTATTCTTTCCCTCCTGCTTCTGACTCAGCAGCATCTGGGCTGATGCTCACTCAGCTCCAGCACCCCAAGCTTCTGCTGCTTTGGGGCACTGACTTCATGGTTGGGGGTTCCCACTCTACTTGCCTGTCTTTGCTCTTCAGACTCATGCTTTTCAAACAGACCATTTTCTTCTAGAGACCAAAGTTCCTTTTACTTGGTGTCTTTGAAGGTCCTACATTACTCTGAAGCTGAAGGCTGGGTCCTTGGTGCCCCTTGCTGAAATTTACTTCTCTTTCTCCCATGGCTAGACACTGGGAGTCCTGTTGTTCCTCCTACTGTGACTCTGCCTTTCTTGTTCTGCTGAGTGTTGAGCCAGGTGAGCATCCCAGATGTTTGGAGCAATACGAGCCAGTCCAGAGTGGCTTGGGTGGGCAGGGGATGGAGACAGGATTCCAGCCTGATGCTCAGGTCTCCTGCCTCTGTTCCAGCCTTCTCTGCCTCAACCTCTGTATGCTTATCTCAGCATTCACCCCTGCTGTTCAAGAACCTGTTCATTTTGAAGAACTAAGAATCTGACTCTCCAAAAAGAAATTTGTCCCCAGGGCTAGGGAATGGTTTCAGCTTGGGGACTTCTGGTTTCACGTCCCATTCCAAGTTGGCCTGGCTGTGCTTCCTTCCTCCAGCCCGAGACTGTTCTGCCTGGCCCTCTGGCCCTCAGCCATGTTCCCAACTCCCGTCTTTCCTCACTTCCTTCCACTTCCTAGTACACAGTGTCTAGATGTGCTGCCCAGTCTCATCCCTTTCCCTTCCTGGTGCTGGAGTGTCCAGTGCTCCCTTCGTTTCTGTGTGGCCCTGTGACTTCTTCAGGAGAGCTGTCCCAGACCCAGCACAGATGAATGGAGTATCATCTTTCACAAAGCTTTTTGAGTGTTTGAATGTTTTCCTTATATGTATGTCTGTGTTCCACATGTATGCAGTATCTATGGAGGCTAGAACCAGAGTTATAGAATGTATTGAGCTGCCATGTAGGTGCTAGGAACCAAACCCAGGTCCTCTGGGTCATCTCCAGTCGCTGAAAGCTTTTTTTTTTTTTTTTTTTTTTTTTTCGAGACAGGGTTTCTCCATATTGTTTTGGAGGCTGTCCTGGAACTCGCTCCGTAGACCAGGCTGGCCTCGAACTCACAGAGATCTGCCTGCCTCTGCCTCCCGAGTGCTGGGATTAAAGGGATGCGCCACCAACGCCCGGCTCGCTGAAAGCTTTTTGAGGTTGCATACTGGGATGGTGTCTCTCCACCTCTGACTGTTAGAACTTCTGCAGTCTGCCTGTCAGTTAGTGGCCTCTGGCTCTTTTCTCAGCTCATGGTTTGTTTGTAATTCTTGGGGAAGTGGTATTGTACAGTCTGTGTTGTGTCCCAGTTTTGCTTTTTGCTGTCTGCTTAGTGACAATACAAGTCCACAGGAATGGGTGGGACACTGCAGAACACAAACCTTGGAGGAGGTGTCCTCCTTTAGGGCAGGGTTAAGAGATACAACTGGACTCCTGCCCCCTTTAGCCTGATACCTAGGAGGAAGTGGGTCTTGGTGGAAGCTAGCTGCTAATCTCAGGTACAGCTGGAGGGCCTCTGTGGACAGAGGATAGACAGTCCTAACTTCTGAGTTCTTAGTGGATGGACAGCTCGCTGCCCTCACTATAGAAATGAAAAGGTCTGGGCAGTTCGGGTCCTGGACATTGCATGGGGATGAGCTGCAAAGCAATGGAGGAAAAGCTGAGGTAGGCATTATTATCCATTTGCCATCCCTGAAGGTTGCTAGCTGCTGCCAGTTAGCACTCAACTGCCTGGATACAGGGCCTGGGCTTGGCCCCTCTGGGAGCCTCCAGGGCCTGCAGCCTGTCATGCCCTCTGTAGCATGTGCAAGAGGCAGACTTCCTGATGGGTGGCTCAGCAAATGCATGGGGTTGTGTTGATGAAGGTGCCCTGACTTGGAACTCTAGTGTTTACTCTGGCAAGGTCATTCTTGATGGCATCCCAAGTGCAGTAGCTAAGATGACCAGGGGGTACAGAGCCACACCTTTTACAGAGATACCCTGCCGCCTGCTCTTATGAGTAAATGTCACATGAGGTCTGGCCCACAGGTGATGGTCAGAATTACTTCAAGTTTAAGTAAAGCTGCAGGTCCTCATCTCCCACCCCACCCCACCCCACCACCCCACTCCACCCCATTCATTGTCTCTGGCAGTGCCCTCAAGCTCCTCAAGCTCCTCACTCTGGCTGCTGTTGAAGTGACAGATCCCTCTCCAGGCTTGAACCTCTTTTTGAACATCACCCCTAGGACCCGTCTACTCATCAAGTCTAGTGTCCTCTCAGTGCCACCGAGTTGCCTTGTGCCAGTTCGAGGCCAGGGAATACCAGCTCCCAGAAGGCAATGGCTTTAACTACTTGATTGGAGCTCATTAAAAAAAAAAAAAGCAAAAACAAAACCTTGAGCAAGCTTTGTGTTGTCCAAGTCTGCATACTTGGTTTTCTTTCTGTTCAGGTCCCCGCCAGCTAAAGACTTTGTTCTGAGCCATGTGCCAAGACTAAACACTGTGTTTTGAGACTGAGTGTCAAAAACTAATCTTAAACCTCTGACTTCTGTGCCCATCTTTGAAATTTCAGATAAACAAAGTGGGAGTAGTGCGGGCTGTGGTAGGTTGGTCCCACCTCTCCTTGAGAGTCTTCCCAGGCAGCTGCTGGCATCACATAGAGAAAGGAAGCCTTTTCTCTTTAGTCGCCTTTCACTTCTTTGTTTATCTGTTTGTGATTTTTCCATCAAAAACCAGTCTGGGGCCTCTGATGGATCATTGACTGAGCCTACGCCAGAGACCCTGAGCTCCATCCCCAGCACCCCAGAACCCACAAGCTAGACTTGCTCAGAGGTAATGAAGAGAACAGTTGTCCTTTTGAAAATGAAGCCTGCTCCCTCACTGTGCCTCAGCCTGGCCTGTCCTCTGGACTGTCCTCACTACTTCCTCACTTCTGACCTGGCTGGCTTCAGTGTGGCTGCCTGGTTTATCTCTTTCCTTGATAGTTTCTCCAACTTTGTGTCTCACAGAAGGTCTGACACTTTCTTCTGGAGTCCATCCTTGCTCCCTGCCCTGTCCTTCCAGGCCTGACTCTGCATCTTGTCCAGGTTTCCCAGAGAAAGTGAGGGCAGCAGGCTTATGGACACAGCTGTCATTGAGATGCTGACTTGGGTTTGACATGAGAGGACCCTGGAGCTGGGCTTACAGTTACCTTCCTGTTATCCAGTGACACTAAACTGCTGCCTCCTCTTACAGTGTCCACATTCCAATATTGCCATGGGACTGGCTAGCTCTTGGTTGAGCCAAGGTGGAAGGGAGCAGATCCTAAACTCCTGAAGAACAGGGCTCATGTGCTGCTTGTAAATCTTATTCCAACTCTCCTAGTTAATGCTGCCCTCTGGGTCTCAAAAGACCTTTCTTCTTACACATATCGTAGAAAGTTTAGGGACAAAACAGCTAAAGGAAACAGCAAATCAATCAAACGGACAAAAGGCGAGGGTTTCTGAACTCCACTTCCCTGCTTCCTCTCTGGTGTGTGTGCTGCTGCCATTTGCAGGCACCCAGGTAAATGTAAGCTCGTGGCTCACGTCCCACTCTGTGGGAGTTTGACCAACTGTGACCATCTTTCCAGGTCTTAAATAGTGTCTAGACTGACTCTGTAGAGTCACAGAGCCACCCACAGAGTCCTTCTGTGTGACTGGATAATAGAGTTTTGTTGTTCCCTCCCTTTCTCTGGTTGTGCTATGGTCCAGTCTGGCCTCACCCTGTGATCCTACCATGGGTGCTCCATGGTGACTTAGGAAGCCTCCTCTTGCTGGCATAGGTCCCTGTGAGTGCTTCTGTCAGGCCATGCTGTGGGGACAAGTGTTGTTGTTCCCATGAGCCTGACTCACATTCCACAGGCTGAGTGAACCCTTGAAGCAGATCATGGCCAGGCTGGCCTGCTTCTTTTTTTCCTTTCTCTGCCCTCACCCTTTCCTCTCCCCTCCCTTCCCCCTTCTGCACTTTTTCCTTTTTTTTTTTTTTTTTTTTTTGATTTTACAGTACTCCATGTATGCCTGCAGGCCAGAAGAGGGCACCAGATCTCACTACAGATGATTGTGAGCCACCATGTGGTTGCTGGGAATTGAACTCAGGACCTCTAGAAGAGCAGCCAGTGTTCTTAACCTCTGAGCCATCTCTCCAGCCCTCCTTTTCTTTTTTAAGGGGATACTTTTTATATTTGTGTTTATTTTGTACATTTGTTGATTCACTCTGTGTGTGTGTGTGTGTGTGTGTGTGTGTGTGTGTGTGTGTGTGTGTAAGTGAGTGAACGCATGTACAGGTCATGCCACACTGTGTGTGTGGAGGTCAGAGGACAACTTTCACAAGTTCTTTTCTTTCACCATGTGGTTCCTGGGGATTGACCTCAGATCATCAGATGCGGCTAGTGGCTAGTGCCCTTACCCACCGAGCGGTCTCATCCTCCTCTTTTAGATACATTTGATACATATTTACTTTTCTTTGCTTCTAGACGCTACAGCAACAGGAATGCAAACTTCTCTACAGTCGTAAAGAAGGACAGAGACAAGAAAATAAAAACAAAAATAGATACAAAAATATCCTGCCTTGTGAGTATCAGTCTCCTGCCTCAGTAGCAGTCACCGTGCCTGGGGTCACACGCTGCCAGTAAAGCTGTTGTAGGAGGCCCTCTGTGGTCATCTCTCACTTATTTATTCCTACTCCTCCTACATGTAACAACCTCAAGGCTCATGGTATTTTACTGTCAGACTAAGGCATGTGCCTCATTCCTGAGAGTTGTGTCTTTGTTCCTTGTGGTGTGTCTCGCCTTTAACTCAGATGGCCTGCCTCTGCCTCCTGAGTGCTGACAATGCCCAGCTTTTAAAAGTGGGTTCTGAGAATCAAGCTCAGGTCTTCATGCGTGAATGACAAGGACATAGAGACTGAACTTACACACCCAGCCCTATTTTTACATTTTATTTTGACAGAGGCTCTCACTAATTTGCCCAGGCTGGCCTTGAACTTGCCCAGTAGCTCAGGCAGATCTTGAATTTGCTATGCTCCACCTCTTAATATCTGGGACCACAGACATGCACCCCAAGGCCCAGCTAAAGCAGATGTTCTTCCCACATCTTATTTTATGTGTATGTATTTTTTTGTTTGTTTTTTGCGAGACAGGGTTTCTCTGTATTGTTTTGGAGGCTGTCGGTTCAGCCCGGCCTCGAACTCACAGAGATCCGCCTGCCTCTGCCTCCCGAGTGCTGGGATTAAAGGCGTGCGCCACCACTGCCCGGCTATGTGTATGTATGTTTTACCTGCATGTCTGTGTGTACCACTTGTATGAAAGCAGGCTATCTTATTTTCCTCATCTCATGGACTCATTTAGTAAGGTTGCCAGTGGGAGAAGCAAGGACTCAAGCTCCAAAAGCAGTGTTCTTGGCACCTTCTGCTGATGCAAGGTCTTTAGGGTGGTCTGCAGGCTTTCATGGGGGAAAGGGAACATTTAGAACTTGAGCATAAATACATCCTTTATGGAAAAGAAAATTAAAGGAAAGGAAAGAAAAGAAAACTGAACCTGATGCACAGATGGATGACATGCTTACACAGTATACTTACTAATAAGTTATTCCTCTCAGCTCTGCTGGTCTGTACTGTAAAGTGCAGCTGTAGGAAAAGCTGGAGGGAACGGTTGCTTACAGTTTCTCAAATGACCTGCCTACTGCTGTGTTAATTAATGATCTAGTCAGATGTTTTCAGTGACCCTTTTTGTTTTCTTTTTCTTTTTTAAACGTTGGTAAACAACCCAGGACATTGCTACACCAGTCCTTACTTAAAATTTTTGTTTTGTGACAGTTTCCCAGGCAGGCTTTGAACTTGTGATTCTCATGTTTCATCCTTCTGGCTAGCTGGGATTCCAGGCCTGCACCATCCTATGAGCCCTGTTGCTAAGTCCCATTGCAGAATATGTTGTTTTTGATGGAGCCCTCCGATTTTTTATACGAATAATGTATTTGTGCACAGACTAGGACAACTGATACTATATGAATCTTGTCTTGCAGATACTGTATTTTTCTCTGCCTTTTTAAGAAACCTTTTATTATGGAAAATTGAAAATATATTAACAAATGGAAACCGAGTGTGCCTCTTGCCCAGCTTCAGCAACAGTCAGCTTGTGTACAGTCTTGTTTTGTCTATACTCTGACCCGCGTCTCTTTCCCTAGATGATTTTGAAGATCTTAGACATCATTGTTAGTACTTTGATCTTCTTTTTAAAAACAAACACCAGCTGGGGATATAGCTTGGTGGCACAGTATTTGCCTGGTGTGCTCCAGGCCCTGGGTTCACCCCCCACCTTTACCACTAAACTCAAACAGGAAGAAAACAATCAGACACCCAAATCTTTTGGACTCATAAGAAGTTACAAAAATGATGTAGGAGGTTCTCGACACCTGACACCTGCTTCCCCATGGTGAATCCTGCACCACACAGCATCACCGAGACAGGGAGCTCTGAGAAAGCTGTGGCGGGCCTTGTCACGTCCCGGTTGGTCTTGTGAAGGACTCACTGTTAGACTGGTCTGACTTGAGGCCACCCGGCTTGTGCTGAAGCTCTGAGGACTGACTGGCTGTCATCTCTTTCTCCTCAGTTGATCATACCAGGGTTGTCCTGCATGATGGGGATCCCAACGAGCCCGTTTCTGATTACATCAATGCGAACATCATCATGGTAAGCTTGACTTTCACTGTGTTTTCTGGCCTTGTGTTGTTTGTCTCTTTGTACCCATGACACCATCTTTCAAAGGATTGAAGGCTTTTCTTCCTAATTTCTAGCCTGAATTTGAAACCAAGTGCAACAACTCAAAACCCAAAAAGAGTTACATTGCCACTCAAGGCTGCCTGCAGAACACAGTGAATGACTTCTGGAGGATGGTGTTCCAGGAGAACTCTCGAGTCATCGTCATGACCACAAAGGAGGTGGAGAGAGGGAAGGTATGCCCGGTATCTTTTCTGGCCACTCCTCCCCACATTCAGCTCTGCGCTCTGTGTGCTCAGCCACTGTGCCCCATTGTCCCCAGCACTGATAAAATGTTCTTGGAGTGTTAGATGTGTGGTTCTTCTGCACTGGGCTCTGCTCCCTGCTGTGCTTTCACAGCAGCTCCATCTTGCGTCTTGGTGGTGTTTGATTGGATAGGTAGTGTCTTCCACTGTTAGTGCACATGAGCCTGAAGCCCTGTGTTTTGTGCTGTGGGTGAACTCCTAGCTGCTATAATGTGGTTTTGCTCAGCTGAACAGTTTTGTTCTTTCCTTCATTTTCTCACAGACTGTGACCTATGTTTGTCTGGATTAAATGGCAAGAATTATTCAGCCTCTTTGTGCGTGTGTTACTTTGGATCAGCCACCTAGCCACCTTCTAGAACCTATCATGTCTTGTCGTTGCCCCCCCCTCATATCTTTGAGCTGAGCACCCCATGCTCTTAGGATGCTGTGGGTTCTAGGTGCCACACTTCCAGGGAAGCAGACATCTCCTCATGTTATCTTTGCATCATGTCAAAGTGAAATCAATTTATAGGTTTTTAATATGGAAGTGTGTTGGGTTTTATTTGTGTTCTGGCTAGAGTTTGTGTTTGGATATCCTTTATTGGTTTCTGTAAATACTGAGTGCAATTTTACAGTTACATGTAGAAGGTAACCTGAGACAGATGGGCTCTTGGGTGTTTAGCTGGCAGCTGAGGGGCAAGTGATTGTGCAGGTTTCTGGTTGGTGCGCTTCTGTATGCCTTCAGCAGTGATGTCAAGTGTCCTGGGCAGTTACAGCTCCTTCCAGTCCCCATATCCTGCATGATGGAGGTCTAAAAGGTCACCTTGAGCCTGTAGCCAAGGAATCGGGTCAAAACCCAAAAACAGTCAGCTGCTGTTAGAACCACTGTTGGAATTTCCAGAGCAGACAGATCGGACAGGGGTGGACCCTGTGCTCTGCTCTAGTCCTCACTCACCCTGGGAGTGCCTGCAGCCTGTGTCCCCATTGCACAGACAGAAGATTGGGACAACTCTCCTGCAACACTGGGAAAACTGGGCAGAGGGCAGTGGCTTGCAAGTGTTGAGAGTCAGCTAAAATGTTCATTTTCAAATTATGACGACTTTGTGTTCTCTGTTGAGGTCTCTGTAGTGAGCAGAGCAGTCCTCTGCATTGTTTGTCTGGAAAAGAGTACCATTTCACTGGGGCATCTGTCAAACACAGGACGATGGGATTTAAATAAGAGACCACACCATTCCATATCCTCCCACCTTGGGGTCCTCTCTGGGTTAGTCACTGATCTCTGTAGCTAGCTGTGTTCGTTCTTCATCACCTGTAAGCTGCTCTGTATTCCTAGTTCTTGGTGCAGATTTCCCTTGCTGATGTTGGGCGTTGTTGGTTTTAGAAAGTGAGTGTCGTGGGTGACTGCTTCCAGAAAGAGAGAACCAGAATATGCTCTGCCTCAGACTTATCACCAGGTAGATGCAAGCTCATCCCTCGGCTGGACAAGACCTCTTTCCTTTACATCATTGTTATTATCTTTCTCAACTGCCTGCTCTGTGTTTTGTTGTTCTTGTTTGTTTGTTTTCAGACTGGGTCTTGCTATATAGTTCTCACTGTGTAGACCAGGCTGACCTTAAAGGTGAAGTGATTCTTCTGTCGCTGCCTTCTGGGACTACAAGTGTGCACACTCAGCTTTCAGTCCAACTGTTCAGGGTCCTACTATGCAGCTCTGGTTGACCTGGAACTTGCTCTGTAGACCAGGTTGGCCCCGAGCTCACAGAGACCCAGGTGCCTCCACCTCCCATTTTCTGGAACTAACAATGGAGTGTGCTTGTCCCATTGGTTCTTGAAGCCAACAGTTATTGCAGACTGTTCTCAGTTCTGGGAAGCTGGTGTTTGTGTGGTTGGTGTAAGATGAGTCTGGATATAGAGAAAGTGGTGATGGAACAGTGTCAGTGTCAGCATCCTGCCCAGCCCCTCAGAATGACTGGTGGAGTGCTGGAATCGGAAATTCTGCTTGCCAGGGTACAGCCTTGGCTTGGCTGTTCCTTCCCACTTGGCTTCTTTCATCCTCAGAGCTGACTAAGCAGGTGTTGGCTCTGCTTTGGCAGGGTAGGAGTTGGGGTGGGGGATGGGGTGGGGACCAGGCTGACCTGCCATACCTGCTCTCCTCCCCTTTGGTCTGCTTTGCTTGCTTGGATTACTCCTTTCTTTTCTGGGCAGGCTAAAGGAAGGTGTAGGCTCCTTTGTTGCTGGTGTCACGAGCAGGAGTGGGACAATTGTTCACTGTTGGTTTGGACATTAACAGGCTCTCTCTGGTCCCTTCCAGAGCAAATGCGTCAAGTACTGGCCTGATGAGTATGCACTCAAAGAATATGGGGTCATGCGTGTTAGGAATGTCAAAGAAAGTGCCGCTCATGACTATACCTTAAGAGAACTCAAGCTCTCCAAGGTTGGACAAGTAAGTATATTGTCGTATTCTAGAGACTGTGGCTTTCTGTGGTTCACAGTCATTGGAGCAAGCCTGCCCACACTCAACCTTCATCCTGTGTCCTGGCACTCGCTGATTGAGTGGCCACATTGGGTGCCTCATAGTTCTGGGCCCAGTTCAGCACTGCTGTGTTTTTAAGCAAGACAGGCACAGGTCCTCTCTCCACAGAGCCTGGAGAGATGTGGGTAAATGTAACTACCAGCTTCCTGATGCTGCTGGCCCTTCAGCTCCCGTGACGTGTTCTAGAGTAACTGGTAAGCTGGGTGGTGGCAGTGGTGGCAGCAGCGGCCGTGGTGCACACCTTTAATCCCAGCACTTGGGAGGCAGAGGGCAGAGACCTAGTGCATTGTGGGTGGGCTGTTTCCCCTGAGGTGCTGGGAGGGCAGGAAGGACAGACCTAGGGATGATGGTGAGCAGAACGAGATCTGCTTCACGTGCTCTCTGATGGGTGTGTGCATGGTGTGCACATGCTACAGGAGTTGTGTTCATCATGGCGCACCTGTGGAGATCAGAGGACAACTTTGAGTTGGCTCTTTTCTTCTACCACGAGGGTTCTGAGGACTGAGCGTGGGTTGTCAGGTCAGGTTTGGTGGCCGGGCCTTTACTAACTGAACTGCCCTGCCAGCCCTCTTGTTCATGATGAACTGCTACATAGCAAGCAGTTTCTTTCCCTTGGTGATAGTGAGAAGCAATTTGTCTTGCTCTCACCCCCCCCCAAAGGTGTGACTGTGCTGTGTGACTTATCTCTGGGTATTGAGACGATGCCACAGGGCTTGTTCCATTTTGCTTACCAGGAGATTTTGAGAGGGAGGTGTGGGAGATGTTAGCACAAGTGTGTTTTTACCCTGGTGTGGAGGCTGACATGGACTCTTCTGGCTCCTACCTTGCTGATGACAGATCACCTACTTGTACAACACTAATGTGCAGAAATGTCTTGACTTAGGAGGGGCCTTGTTACACAGTGAGCCTGTGCATGCTCTATTTCTCTTGCTGGCCTGGTGTGACCCACAAAGCTATCTGAGTTTCAGGTCACTTAGTAATGACAAGGCTAGTTTTCCATGATATCAGCAAATTAAATTCGTGTATCACACAAGAGTTTTTAATCATGGCAAGAGTCCATGGGTGTGAGAAAGTTCACCAGTGTTGGTTGATATTGTAGCCTTTTCCCCTCTGTCCTCCTGTCTTTCTCTTCCTTCGTCCCTTGCTCCCTCTCTTGTTGCTTTCCTTTTTCTGGTCTCAGTGGTCCTGATGTCTCTGTTGGTCCCTGGCCATTGTCACTCAGAGCCACCAGGATGTGCTTTATCCTCAGTTACTTCCTGCTTGCTGGGAGAAGCTCTTTGTGCGGCTCCTTTAATCTCTCTGTGTGAGAAAGATTTCTTTGTGAATGAATTTGAGGGTTTGCTGTATGCAACAGTGACTCTACAGTAAGGGGCTGCCTGGGACTTGAGCCCAAGTCTCACCATCTACTTCCCAAAGCTCATCTTCAGCTATGGCAGTGCTGTAACGGGCGTGGGTGCCTGATGAGGCAGCAAGGGTGAGGACACAAGTTGACAGTGGAGCAAATGCTTGAGGGGAGGCCAGTTTGCCACACTGCAGTCCTTAGGGACCTCAGTGGCCTCTGGAGTTGAGTGCCACCTGACTGAGGAAGAAGGGAAGCATGGCCTGCTCTGATGACTCAGGGATGTGTTTTGGCTATGGTTATCCAGAGAACAAATTGCCATGCTGGATGTCTTAGATTGTCGACACGCAGACACTGCCTCCAGGCTGGCCTGTTAGCTCTCAGAGAAGCACTTCTGGGAGCCAGAGATTCTGGGCCTCCATTCTCAAAGGCGCTAGGAAAGCTCAGAGGCTATGATTCCTCAACCCTTGATTTATTTAATTCTGTTCTGGCTTTTCTTGGCTCTACTCCAGGGAAATACAGAGAGAACCGTCTGGCAGTACCATTTTCGGACCTGGCCGGACCATGGTGTGCCCAGTGACCCTGGAGGTGTGCTGGACTTCCTGGAAGAGGTCCACCACAAGCAGGAGAGCATCATGGACGCAGGCCCTGTCGTGGTTCACTGCAGGTGACAGCCCAGCTTGGTTTCTTTTAAACTCAGGGGTTTGGGAGTCTGTTCTCCTTGGAGATGTGACCCACTCTTCCCAGCACTCTGTTTATCCAGCGTCCGTCCTTTCCCAGGGTCAGCACGCAGAGCATATGGGCTTCATGATTATACTGGGAATGGTTTGGTTTCCTGAACTTTCATTCACATGTTGAACTGATCTAGAAATGAGTGAAACTTTCATTGTTCAGTGGTTTGTTTTGTCAGTGTTGTCATTTTGTGATAGGATCTCACTTACATAGTGAGATCTAGGTTGACCTCAAACTGGCAGTGATTCCCCTGCCTCTGTCTCCCAAGTGCTGGGGTAACAGGCCTGTACCACCATGGCTGGCCTATTCAGTTTTGTTTGTTTGTTTTGTTTTTAAACCACCATTAATGTTAATTTTGCAGATAGGTGGCTATCTAGGAAAGAACTGAGCACACGTTTCTTTCTTTGAATGTCTGCTGTGGACTGTAAGACAGGAAGCCACGAGTCTGTGGGCAAGTTTCTATGCTCAGGAGAGCCATAATTTGTCCAACTGTTTCCAAGTAAAAGTTGTATGAAGCTCAGCACTGTGAGCCTCATGACAAGCCCCCAAGAGATATTGTCACCTCCCCATTTCCACGGATGAGGAAATAAGGATACCCTTGAGACCCATACCAGGAACAGAGGGAACTGACGCCCTCGGGATGGGGTTGGGGAGAAGCTGATGTGTGGCTGTGACCTGCATCTTGTAGACACACAGAGCAGGGCCTGGTTCTGAGTGTGAAACCCCCACAAATGACTCCAGTGTCTCTGCTATTTATTCTTCTATCCACAGTGCTGGAATCGGCCGGACAGGAACATTCATTGTGATTGACATCCTTATTGACATCATTAGAGAGAAAGGTAGGTCATCTGGAAGGCAAGAAGCCACATATAGTTCCTGTTTCTAGGTTGTGAATGGAGAGTGCTAGGGAAAATGGCCTGGGAGAGAGAATTCACAGGGGAAAGGAATGGTCATATAAATCTGGACGAGATTCACTTTCAGTGAGTTCTCCTGTTCAGCTATTGCTATAAAACAGTGTCCTAGAGTTCTGGTCCCATCACCATGCCTTCTGTTACCCATGTCATGAGGTCCCTCCAGCCACTCATTTCCTGCCTGTGAGATGGGTTGGCATTCTTGGGAACTGAGGGGCTTCTGACCCTAGCACTTTGTCCTAGCAGTTCCTGGCATTGTCCTGCGGCATCCTCTATGGCTAGTGGTGAGGGAAAGACTAGCTCTGTGACCCTTCCCGCTGTGGAGAGTGGGTGCTTAGCAGCCCACCCTGGCTTCGTGCACTCCTGCAGCTTCAGGGTCTTTGCTTTGCAGGTGTGGACTGTGACATCGATGTTCCTAAAACCATTCAGATGGTACGGTCCCAGAGGTCAGGGATGGTCCAGACAGAAGCACAGTACCGGTTCATCTACATGGCCGTCCAGCATTATATCGAGACGCTGCAGCGCAGGATCGAGGAGGAGCAGGTATGGAATGAGGGACTGGCACATGGGCTCAGCTCCAGTCCAGGCTGCCTGGATTTGTACTCTTAAAGCTAGAGCAAGGCTCTCTTTATCTGGAGAAGGTTAACAGATCCCCACCCCAGTAGTCCCTCTGGAAGCTATGGTCATCCTTTGCCTCCTAGCTCAGGGAAGTGCGGTGCCATCCTCATGAGCTCTGCCATACAGAAAGGAAGTGACTTCTACATGCCAGGCTTAGAATCAGGACCTACAGTTTTTAGCCTGCTTCAGCTTTGATCTAGGCTGGTTTATTCTGAATCTGTCTTGTAAAAATGAATGCCTTGTTCTTAATAAAGCATGGCAGTTTGAGCCACTAATTTGGCTGCATTGAAACAGTGAATTTCAATTTTAATAAGCTGTACATAATGAAGAGTGTGCAGTTGGAGTCATTCCATGTGAGGCTATTCATAACAGACACAGAGCTGAGTTAATTAGGATACGCTGAGCCCAGGGAGATGAGGAAGGAGAGCTGTTCTTTTGGGGAGCTTTGCTTATTCCCCTCCTGAACCCCATTGTGCTGCGGCAGATGGGTATCTGAATACCAACAATGTTTGTCCTTTTTACTGCTGTTGCCTTCCAGAAAGCCCAGGAGAAGAGGCTCAGTGCATGTCACAATGTGGCAAGCTGCCTCTTAATGGGTAACTTTATTTAATTTTTTAAAGACCATCTCACTGTGTAGCCCCGGGCTGGCCTGAAACTCACTATGTAGACCAGGTTGGCCTCGAACTCATAGAGATGCTGCTGCTTCTGTCTCTACATGTTGGGATAAAGGTGTGTGCCACTATACCTGATCTGGAAAAACATAGTCACATCATCAGCCTTGGGAGCCAGAGGGAAGTATCCCTTCCTGGGCTTAGGTACTCACCCAGACACCCATGTCAGGTGCACACATTGAGAAATCAAGTGTGCATAAGTACGTGAGGTCATATGATTGATTGACAAGCCACCTATCCTGAGCCTCAGTGTTTTAAATCTGAATTCAACATAACAACATAAGCTTTTTTTCTTTTCTTTTTTCTTTCTTTTTTTGGTGGCACTAGAGAGCAACCCGGGGCTTCAGACACACTGGGCCAGCATTCTACCACTGAGGCTCACCCTAGGGCTTCATGCATACTAGGCCAGACTCCACCACTGATCTGCACCCCCAGATCTGTAAATGCAGATGAATACTCTGAGGCTCTTCTTCCAGTTACATTCAATTGGTGCCATTAATAGTTTAAAAAGAGAATAAATTTGATGAGGCCCAGAGAATAAATTTGATGAGGCGGCATCATGTTTGCTAAGTCTAGTCAGGAACAATTCAGGAACATTGCCAGGAGTTCTCTGTTTCACTTGGATTTGTATTTATGTTAGAATTGAGAGATACAAACTGGTGGATCAGAAATTCAAGTTTATCTTTGACTATGTATTGAGTTTCCAGTCTGCATGAGCTATATGAGACTTGGTTGCAAAAATAACAAAACAACAATGAAAAAGAAACCACCACTGCACACAAAAAGAACCAACTTCCCCCACCCCTGCTTATTTTTAAATTTCATTTTAAATATGTGTGAGCCAATGTCCATGTGTGGGTGTGTGCTTGTTAGTACAGGTGCGCACGGACCCTCAGATCCCTTGAAGCAGGCTGTGGTTTTGCATTGCCCAACATCACTGTGGGGACCTGGGCTTCTCTCTGCAGGAGCATTTTGCATTTTTACCCACAGCCGTGGCTCCCTCTCAAGCCCAGCAGATCCTTAAATTAAGCAACAGGACAAAACTAATTCAGGATAATGAATTATTTCGAAATGTAGTTATTTTCCAATTTAGGATGAGTTAAGGCCCTTCGGGAGTAAAAGAATTTGCTAAAGAAGGTTAAACGAAAACAAGAAAGGGACGGTTGTGCGAAGAGCCATGGGAAAGGAAGGGGAGAGAAAGAGACAGAGACAGAACACACTTGCTAGCAAGACAGAAACACACAGAGGAGGGTGTGGGGACAGTCATGAGTGTCTGTGTCTCACAGGCTCTTGTCTCTGCAGTTTGGGTGAGAGGTTGTTTTTTTTTTTTTTTTTAATTTTCCATTTATAGTAGTAAGTACTCCATTTGCAAAAGCAGTGTGTGTAGTTCCTTTACCCAACTTTTCTGAAGGTTAAGATATTAACACAAACATTCATTTTCTCTCTGAACTTTAAAATATATGTAAAAAGGGAACATTTATAAGTTACGTGTATTTTTACCTCTTTGCCTGTAAGCATGTTTGTATGTATTTTCAAAAAAAAAAAGAGGACATTCTGTTACTTAGTCATGATCTATTACCAAGCTGAGGAAGCAGACACTGATAGAAAGCTCTGTGTAACCTCAGATCAGTATGCGCTCACTTGCCAGGGTCCTAGGGTCCATCCCAGTGCTACACACAAGCACCCCAGGTGGAGCCGCACACTTGTGTAAGTTAAGCACAGGGGCCGAGGCAGGAAGACTGCATATTCCAGTCTAGCCTGGGCTACATTAGATCTTCTCTTTGCAAAAACAGAACCAAGCAAGAAACCAAAATTATGGTCTGGAGAGGTAGCTCAGTGATTAAGGACATGTACTGCTTTTGTAGAGAACCAGAGTTCATTTCCCAGCATTCATGTCAAGCAGTTTAAAACTGTAGGTAACTTAAGCTCCAGGGGATCTAACCCCTGCCCGTCAACACACACACACACACACACACACACACACACACACACACACACACACACACACACACACACACACACACACACACAGAGCTAACATACCCCCCCCCACACACACACAGAATGCTAACATAACCTACATACCACATTCCGTTTTTATAAGCTGTGGTCAGGGTCATACCATGTATGCAGCTGTCATGTTTCTTTGCCTGTCTTTCATATGAGTGGTTTCTGTGTCTCACTGTCACTCTGTCCCACTGTCAGTCTGTCCTCCATAGTTGGGAAGCTGCCAGTTGTTCCCTCTCCTAGAGACTCCGGCCATTCTCTGTTGTGTCCATTGCTGAGTTGATTCAAGATGGTCAGGTCAGCTTTGCTCCTTGAAGATGACAGTGAGGTTTCATATATATGTGTGTGTGTGTACATGTATCCATATGTGTGTGTATATATATATTTGAATTAGAAACAATGTTATTTTACATATTGATCCCAGTTCCCTCTCCCTCCATCCTGCCATGCCCTCACTGGCCTCCCCATCCCATCTCCAGCTACTCCCCAGGGAGGGTGAGGCCTTCCATGGGGGATCATCAAAGTGACAGGGAGGTTTCTTCTTCTTCTTCTTCTTCTTCTTCTTCTTCTTCTTCTTCTTCTTCTTCTTCTTCTTCTTCTTCTTCTTCTTCTTCTTCTTCTTCTTCTTCTCCTCCTCCTCCTCCTCCTCCTCCTCCTCCTCCTCCTCCTCCTCCTCCTCCTCCTCCTCCTCCTCCTCCTCCTCCTCCTCCTCCTCCTCCTCCTCCTCCTCCTCCTCCTCCTCCTCCTCCTCCTCCTCCTCCTCCTCCTCCTCTTCTTGTGAGAAGTTTTATTAGAAAGGGGAGGGAGGGGGAAGGAAAGAGAAAAGAGGTAAAGACACAGAGGGATGACAGAAGAGAAGAGGGAGACAGGAAAAGTCTGCCCTGTGGGGACACTGGGAAGAGAGAGTGGAAAAGAGAACAGAGCCGAAAAAAGCAGAAAGAGAGGAGGAGGCAGAAAGAGAGCAAAAAAGTGGGAGGTTTCTTTACTCTGAAGCAAGAGTCATGCGTGCACACACACAGATGCAAGTGCACACAGACAGACACTAAGACTCATACATATGGGGGCTGGGCAGTGGTGGCGCACACCTTTAATCCCAGCACTCGGGAGGCAGAGGCAGGCGGATCTCTGTGAGTTCGAGGCCAGCCTGGTCTACAGAGTGAGTTCCAGGATAGGCTCCAAAACAATACAGAGAAACCCTGTGTAGAAAAACCGGGGGAAAAAAAAAAGACTCATACATATGTATCCCACTTGGGGAAAAAAGATGGATGTACTCAACTGGGGATGTGGCTCAGTGGCACAGTGCTCAGCCCGCATGACCTGGGTTTGCTGTCCACTGTGAGAGGGAGGAGAATGTTTGAGGCTGGAAGCAGCCTATTTCTCATTGTACTTTTTTTTTTTTTTTTTTTTTTTGGCTTTTCGAGACAGGGTTTCTCTGTGGCTTTGGAGCCTGTCCCGGAACTTGCTCTTGTAGACCAGGCTGGTCTTGAACTCATAGAAATCCGCCTGCCTCTGCCTCCCGAGTGGTGGGATTAAAGGCGTGTGCCACCACTGCCTGGCCTCATTGTACTAGTTATACATTGTGTGTGTGTGTGTTTACACATGTGTGTGTGCGCGCACTTCCTCCTTCTTTCCCTCCCTCCTTTTCATGACTGGAAGTTTGTGACATGATTTATTTGGCCATATCTTGGTGGGTTGGGAGACAGGGACAAGACCAGAAGCAAAGCATCTGGGGACCTACTTGTACTTGCCGGCCACATGTCAAAGGTTCCGTCAACTCCCCAAACTTCATCACTAGCTGGGGGCCAGGCACTAAAACACATGAAGCTGTGGGAACTTTTCCATTCAGGCTGGAGCAGGGCCCTGGGAAGGCCGACACTGTTCTATGTAAGCCATTGGGCAGTTGGAAGCAGAGGAGTGATATAAAATCACTTTGATTTGAGAGAGGACCCTACCTCCCGTGGAATGGTGGACCAGACTTGGGCACTTCGAGATATAACTGTGATGGTTTGTACAGTGTGTGAGCTGAATGGGAAAATCAAAATAGTGGGAGGAGTCAAGGCTGTGTCCCAGCCAGGGGCACCTGCCTTCCATTCTGCTCTTGGCTGGGGAGACTGCTTGCCTTTAGAGTTTAGGAAAGGTCAGTGTATCTCCCCATGGGAACGCTTCACTGCAGATGGTTTTAGCCTTCCTGCCCCTGAGTATCAGTTGGCCTAGATGAATCACAGACATGCAGTCTTGATCTGGAGGTTTCCTGGGTACTGGAAACACAGAGCCTCCCCTTACCTGGAAGTAAAGCAGAACCCCTCATCCCCAGGGCAGCCACTGGCTCATCTGGACATTCTTTCTGAATGATTGGAAGGCTCTGAGCTTCTTGGGCTGCTCTCACCATCCATCCTAGTGGTTCTGCCCTTTTGCCCTGTCAGTTGTTTCTCTCTAGAAAATGCTGGCCACTTCATGCAGAAGCAATTGGTTTTAGCGTTCCAGAAGGTTCTGAGAAAGGAGGAAAGGGTGGTTGCTGTCAATGGGAATGACAACACTGTTAGTTGGTACATGTGACAGTATGAAGTTGATAATGCTCCCTCTCACCTCCTTTGCCTCAGCCCAGAGCGGGCTGGGGATACTAGAAATGGCCCCACAGAATGTAGGCCTGTGCTATGGTGTCTCCCTGCAGAGACCCCTTCCTCCAGGGCTCACTGAGCTTCAGGTCTCAGCAGCTTCCTGAGAGTAGTTGCAGTGAGTAGCTTGTGTCAGGTGCCAGCTGCCTCCCTCTTTTCCTTCTTTGGCCCAGCCTTCATGTTGGAGCACATCCCTGCTGTCTGCAAACTGGTGTGCTGTACGCCATGGTCTGTGTGGGAGACCTCTGCTCCTGAGTAGCTGTGGGTCTGCTGGGCTCCTGTCAGTCTCAGTCTGGTGATATAGACACAGTGCAGCAGAGTTTCTCCTTGACACCCCCCCCCCATGTGCCACCTGTCTCCATCTCTGGAACCCAGAGCAACCCCAAGCTTATTTATACAGAGACAAGGACCCATATAGCCCAGACTTGTCTCCATCTCACTGTGAAGCCGTGATGAATTTCTGTTCTCCACCTTCTTAGTGCTGAGATCACAGGTGGTTAATGTGCTGCTGGGGCTGGAACCCTGGATGCCTATGCTAGGCAGGCACTTTTTTACCACCTCAGCTACATCTTCCCTAAGTGACTTACTTTTTTTTCAAGTGCAAGTACATGTTCTGGAGAGGAGGTTCAGCCACTAAACCCTTTACACTCTTCCAGAGCTCCTGAGTTCAGTTCCCATTATCCATGTTGGCAATTATAGCAATAGCCTATAACTCCAACTTCAGGGACTCTAATGCCCTCTTCTGACTTCCAAGGGCACTTGAATACATGTAGTATGCACACAGACACACTTGTACAATTAGAAATGAAACACAAATATAGACATCTTGAGACTGCATAGACCGTTGTTTGCTAGTTCAGATGTTGGTCAGTGAGGTCCTGGTATCTTTTGTTGCTCAGCATTTTATATGAATCTGTTTGCACACAGTCCTCTCCTCTCCTCCCCTCGGCTGCATATTGTTCACTATATGGACAGTATATTCTTTTGCTCTTTTGGGCATTTATAAAGAGCATCATGCCCCAGCCACCCTTGTACAGTTCTTAGGCTTCCATGCAAGGGTTTCCCAGTGAGACACAGATGTCACCCAATGCATGCTTTTCATTTTCACTAAAGACTAGCTAGTAAGTGCTGCCTTCACTGTTGAGAACCAAATGGCATTTTTTCTTTTCTCCAGTGCCTGGGGTCAAGTTCAGAGCCTTGTGCAGCCAGATAGGAAGTACTTATTGCTAATTATGTTCCCAGCCTCCCAGTTTAACCTCTCTGAGCACTGATGGTAGTTCCCAGGTGTTAGTTAGTCTTCAGTATGGCCGCACTTCCTTCCTAGCAGTGCTAAGGTCAAGACAGTTTCGCTGCTCCCTTGATGGATTCCACTTTGAGATGTGGGAATCTGCAGGTGAATGTGAGAAAAGGTAACTGGCCAATGGAATGGTGCAGCAGGGAAAAGCACTTGCTGTGCAAACCTGACGACCTAAGCCCAAACCTCAGCACCTTCGTGGAAGGAGAGAGCTGACTCCACAGGGATGTCTTCTGCTCTCCACACGTGTGTGGCATGTGTGAGTCCTTATATATCACATACAAATGCAAAGACATTGTAAGTTGAGATTACATTCCTGTTGATTTTCTTTTTTGGTTTCCTTGCCGCATCACATCATTAGAGTCAAAATAGCATTCTGAGGTGCTGTGATCTTTGCTGATGTGTGTTAGGAGGAGTATCTCAGTGGCAGGGCACACACCCAGTCATGTGCCAACCCCAATGCTAAATGAATAAAGTGCATTATTAAGAAGTCCCCTGCGTGCATGTCTACTTGGAGTAAATCCTTCTGGAGTGTCCCTGTTTACAGTCTACTGAACGTGGTGGAACTGTGCTAAGGAGCAGGGCCTCTGGTCTTGTTAAGCGGGCAGATCTTGCATTACTGCAGCTCCAGGGGCTCCGGGGGACTGTGGTTCCAGGCACCCCTCCCGAGGGTGCTGGTCCTTGAAGGAGACAAGCTCCTCCTGACAGTGTGATCAGCTTGACAGGGTCCTCAAATTCTGGCCTGTCCATCTGACTCCCTCTTTTCCTTTGATAAAATTGATTTTTGTTTGTGTATTCTCTTAAGAAACAATCCCAGTCTTCCTTACCTGTATTTTTCCAACTTTCAGAAAAGCAAAAGGAAAGGACATGAGTATACCAATATTAAGTATTCCCTGGTGGACCAGACAAGCGGCGATCAGAGTCCCCTGCCACCTTGTACCCCAACACCACCCTGTGCAGAGTAAGTAGTGATGTGCCTATGTCGCTCTGGTAAAAGCTAACAGCAGTTGTTTGCAATATTTCCAGCTCACACTTGCTTGCTGCCCAGTGATAGATAGTACATGGGTGGGGTTGGGGTTGAGGGGCTCTCTAGGAACTGTGTGGACAATGTCTAAACAGATTCTAGGCTTCTAAACAGTAGTCACGTGTCCTAAGTCTGTCAGGTCAGGGTCCTCTAGGGAAAACCTAAACCTAATTTTCCTTTTGCAGGGGGCATTATTTCAGTGGAAAGTGCTGTCTCTTACAATATGTTGTGACTCTTTGACCAGTAAGAATAAATAGATTTTCTGTTCATGTGTGGACATGACTATAGTCTGCCAATCTTCTTGCTAGTCTGTTTGGTTTTGGTTGTCTTTTTTTTTTTTTTTTTTTTTTTTTGCTTGTTTTGAGATAGGGTTTCTCTGTGTTTAGCCCTGACTGTCCTGGAACTCACTGTGTAGACCAGGCCAGAGATCTGCCTGCCTCTGCCTCCTGAGTGCTGGGATTAAAGATGTGTGCCACCACTGCCTGGCCCAGTCAGGGTTTTTAAATCAAGGGTCAGAAAGCCATAGCCCACAGGCCTAGCTTTGCTTTAAGGAATTTCTTAAAACAAAACAAAACCAAACCAAAAGGTGTCCATTCCAGGAGGGAATGACAGACAGCTGTGTGTAGGCAGGCTGCAGAAGCAGCGGTGGGTGGCTTAGGGGCATGCAGAGGGGACTCATTTTCCTTGGTGCTCAGTGAACAGGAAGGCAAAGCTCGAAGCTCTTTCCACACACCAAGTGAAGTCAGAAAGGCAGTGTCCAGCTGTGGTGAGGACAGTTTTGTTTTCAAGGAACAGCTGTCGTACAGCGGCAGTTCAGGTGCCTTGGTTCATCTCCACAGGACAGCTTGCCTTGGCAATTGCGGCCAGAGCTTTAAGAGCACAGTGACCTCTGACCTTGCAGCTTGGAGATTTCACCAGATCTTGGGAAAGACTTTCCCCCAGAGGCATTCAGCAGGACATGATAGTTTAGGACATGTGTGACAGGAAGCCGTGTGACATTTCCAGCATGGGAGATGAACTTAGAAACCAAGTGGAATGCTGAAGGACCATGGCCTGTTAGTCAGACTCCAAGTAGCACTCAACTGTGGATGGGAAAAGGAAGTTGTTCCTGATTTTTACTAGTTTTTCACTGACACCAAGTGCTGCAGAAACCACGAGTATCCAGCTGCTTGGAGTTCTCAGGGTTTGAGTATTTACCTTGCAGTGTGCTGCGTCCGTCTCTACAGATCCCCCTGTGTCTGTTAGATAGATAGACAGTCTGGAACTTGGAGCCATGGGCTGATGCTTACAGCTTTCTTGAAGGCAGTGTCTTGAGGCCATTTTGGAATGAAGTACCCCAGTCTTCCATGCTGCTGCTCTGTAGCCTGCCATTAAAGACTCCCAAGAGAGGCAGAACTTGTCAGGGCCCATATTCACATTCTAGGAGACCCAGATCCCTGCAACTTAAAAATGACAGTTTTCAGGGCTGTTGGCCAGGTTAGTACTGAAGTCTGTGACCTCTCTCCCTCACTCCACCCCTGGCACTCCAGTGCTCAGTGTCCATCAGGATCCTGGCTTAGCCACATCCCTCACACCATACCCCCTCTGCCCCTCATGCACTCTTTCCTGGGAAAGGAAAATATCAAAGCATGACACACACGGTGGTTCTTTCCAGAAGGCTTGTCCAGTTCCCGGTTTAAAGTAAAGCACCCAGACAGCCTTTGCTAGCCTGGTCACGTGACTAACAGTGTACTGTAGAGTTGTGGCCATAACATTAACTTTCTCTTTCCCCTGGAATCTGGCTTGTTTGCTTCTGCTGTGGGCTTTTAAAGCCCCACTGACTTTAATATTGGCTCTACACAGTTCCCTCAGAGAGCAGACAGAGGCCTGTGTTTACATTCTCTCTCTGTTAAACACAGAAATGAAATCCTGTGTCAGGGGTGCTCTCTTCTGAGTCACCTTGCCTCCTCCTGTTTCCCTCAGCCCCAGAAGGCTGCCTGAGGATGCTGGTGTTTTGAACCACATGCTGCAGTAACTTACTGGGGAGCCAGCACCTTTCCCACAAAACTCACCTCAGACTGACGGCCCCTCTGCCTTGCCCTTCGTGCTGTCCCCACACCTCAGATCCTGGGTCCTGGGGCTGCTCAGAGCTCCGGTCCTCCTGGCCCACACAGACTCCTGATGCCCTTCTTAGCAGAAGGAGGCTGGCCTTCTAATGCTTTAGTTCTCCATCCAAGGCTCTAAAGGTAGCTGTAGCCTTCCTGCACCTGTTCCGATGCCTCTCTGGGAATGGCCACAATTCCGGTTTTGTGTGCACATGACCCAACTCCTTTACTGTGCCCTACACCGTCTTCCCTTCCCCACACTCAGAAAAGGCACAGGACTCCAGGCCTGACTGCTTGTCCACCTTCATGATGATGCAGCGTGTCATGTCTGATGTCCACGAGTCAGCTCGTGGGTGAGCAGGGGATCTCAGCAGAGCTGGGCCAGATGGGACGTGGCAGGAGTTCAGGTGTCTTCCTTCTTCCTCTCCACAGAATGAGGGAGGACAGCGCTCGAGTCTACGAGAACGTGGGCCTCATGCAGCAGCAGAGGAGCTTCAGATGAGCCCTGCCGGTGGCAGCCCGCAGGTATTTCAACGCTGAGGTGCTCTCTGGGACTGTGATTCACAGGGTTCCTAGATAGGCAGGGGATTTGTGTATGCCAGAGCAAAGCCTGCTGTGCCTGAGCTTTGAAAACCAGCCTCTTTTTTCTGGCCTTGTCCCTCTGCAGGCTAGGCTACAGTTCACTGAGCATTAAAGTCAGATCAGATAACGACATGGGGTGTGGCTGGCACTTAACAGCAAGCAGTGGCAGCAATGGCGAGCAGCCACCACCATTCTGCAGGTAGAACTGGGCTCGAGTGGCACAGGCCCTGCTGTGTGATCTCTTGGTGTCAGGATCAGCCTTTGATTGGGGGCCTCCCTGGCAGTCACTGTGGTTGATCCACATAGGTGATGTGGGCTTGTGTGCTACATTAGAAGCACACAGTACGGTATCACACGCTAAAAATTCCTGTCAGCAACTGTATTTCAGCAGAGAGCGTTTGTCTGGCATGTGTGTGACATGCTGATTTCAGTGCCCTGCACCCTCAGAGAATATGAGACTATGCTTATCTATGTGTGCTCCCTAAAAGTCAAAACTTCTTTCTTTCTCAGATGCGAACTTTCACCCCTTCCCTAAAAATGTCAAGACTAGATGAGAAAGTTTCCAGGACCCACGTGTTCAGAAGCTTGCCTGCCTGGGTTGACTTTTGAGAAGCGAAGTTTGGAACCATTTGAAGAGCAAGTGTCTAATCGGCACCTCCCTTCCTCAGATAAGGGGGAAACCGCTCTGTGTTATCAACAATGCTATTTTCATAGAATTGGTTTTGAATTGTGGAAGCAGCTAAATTGTGCTCTGTATTTTACACATTATGGGACTCAAATTGTAGCTATGGGCAGGATTTTGTTTCTTTTTATGACCTTAACTGATCTAATTTTCTTTTCCCCCTGTCTCTTTGGGGAATCATGGGCCCCTTGTGAAGAAAGGATTTGGGGAATTCAGGAACAGCCTCTCCGAGAAGCCAGCAGTCTGTAAACTACTGCTCATCGTCTATCGCCCAGGGATTGCTTAGGGTTGCCCGTCATTGCAGAGGCTCAGTGTTTAGTTCAGGGGCCGGGAGGCCAGGCTGCAGGGTTGCACTGGTCAGGGCCTTCTGGTGTGCCACACCGGATGGGAAGAACATGAGGGCTAGCCTTGCTTTTATGGCAGATTGATGATGACCCAACCATTCCTTAGCATCCCACCTGTCAACACCGTGGCATTGGGATTCTTTGCACTCCCCGCAGGTGCATGTTGGGGTACATTCAGTACAGAATGACCCAGTCAAGGACAATTCACTTTGGTAGCAAAGCAATCATTCAGCCTGTAATGTGAGTCTGGATAAACAGTCATGGCTGAAAGCCCATGGGCGTTGGTGGATGAGAAGTCTTTCCTCTGAAGATGACTCGTTGGCTTCAGTGTGGACAGAGAAAAGGTGGAAAAAGTGGCCATGTTGTCTTTGCACTGGAGTCACCATCTTGTATTAGTAAGACCCCTGGGTGAGTGGCATCTGGTCCTCTCTTGTTCCTGACTGACCCACCCCACCCATTCCTCAGTCTTACCTGACTTGCATGAGCCCCACTGTCCTGTGGGGTCACTTGGGGAGTTGGCAGCATGGCCGAGACACTGAGCTTCTGTATTACTTGTGGTGTCTTCCAGTTCTTTTCTCTTGGGTATCTCTGTAGCCTGACTAGCAGGGTGGCTGGGCCTTTATGTGTCCCCTAAAGCTCAAAGGCAGAAGTGGCTGGGCCTTCTTCAGATTCAGGCCTGGAATGACCATGACTTCTTCCGTGACTGCCTGCAAGGGAATCAGACTCAGCCTGAGGTGTGTAGTGGAGATGCTGTGCTCTGGGGACCCAAGTCTGTCAGATGACCCCATCCTGTGCCATGGAAACAAGCGGCTATAGTTAGCAAGAGCCCAGGCTGTTTATAGTAGCTGGTGTAAACTGTGGGTCAGATAAGAAATGTACAGTGCACATTCTAGAAGCTTCTGAGCCAATTTTTCTGGCACCACATGTTGCACCATCCTCACCTGAAGACCTGGTGTAGTAAAGGTGAGTGTGTTTGGGGACGTATGAAAGCTCGTTCCTGAAGCACCACAGATGGGTGAAGGTGATGCTTCATTGGGCCTTGGCTGAGCGAAGAGCGGCAGTCCTGGCCAGGCCTCCTGTCAGGTCCAGTCAGCCATTTGTGCTGTAACCAAGCAGCAGGGTTTGCTATGTTCTGCCGTAAGTGCCTTCTCCACAGACACCCCCTCTGCCTGCGTGTTAATCGTTGAGAGCGTGTTTCACCGAAAGCATCCGGATTGACGCTCATGACCAAACAGTGGCACAGCCTCCACTCACGTTCTTTTTGCTTCGGTTCCTGAAAGGAAGGACTGGACCCTGCCCTGCAATCGCTCCTTTCTGAGGCCTCCCATTCCCTGGCAGCCTGAGGTAGTTGGGAGCCAGGGGCAACCATTTTCTCAGAGCATTTGTGTTGACCCTTGTCTCTTCTCCACTGGACTCATTGCTTCAGAGCACAGTGTGGCCTTGGCTGTGTTCCCTCATCAGGGGAAGGTGGAGACTGCTGTCTTCTCACAAGCCTGTGACGGAGATCAGTTCAGCATTCACAGCCAGGATCCCGAATCCTATTATCTTAGCACATTGTCAAAATGAACCGTGTTGAGGATGGCGGTAATATCTAGACTCTGGACTTCGGAAACAAGGTCTCTCACCAGCACACAGAGGTTGGCTGTCCAGCTGATCTACTGAGTTCAAGTCTGCCTGCAGCTCAGGATCCAGAGCAGAAGACCTGTTCTTAGCCCACAGAAGTGGTTTCCTTCAGGTTCCCCTCTGTAAGGAAACGGATCTGTCAAGTGTGGTAGTTGCAGGGTCTCAGGGGAGGGTGCTCTGTGTGTTGGAGGCAAGTGTGGTGTCTGGGAAGGTGAAGTGGTGGGGGTGTGGATTTGAAACAATGGGAGTGAAAGTTGTCGAGGTGGTTCATGGGCAAGTTGGAGGGCACAGAGTGACAGCAGGTCCCCTCCCTGCTGAGCCTTTTAAATTAGAAACATAGGATTTTATACTTGGGGCAAATCACCTTGGGGTTTCTAGAAAGCCACACTTAACAGTCTTAGTAAGAGGCTTGCCACACTGGTGTGCACCCTAGTGATGCCCCAGGTGGCCTCTGCCGTGCAGTTGGTGCCTTCCTAATGGTGAAGCTGGGGTTAGAAAATGCTGAGGGGTGACGTCAGCTATGTTTTTACAGAGCTGGTGGCCTTCAGTGGCTCAGAAGTAGTCAGCGTTATTTCTAGGGTGTTTGCTGGGAGTTCAAGAACATGAGCATTGTTTTCCTGTGCAGAGACTGAGGCAGGTGCACTTGTGAGGTGTTCTGTAGGTGTGATCCTTAGGGAACAGACTCCAGGCAGAAGTGCAAGCCCGGGGCAGGCTTTGCTCCTGTCGGTTGTGGGGTCTCTTTATAGCACACAGTCGCCCTGGCTTCAGACGCCTTTCTTAGGGTCTGTGCTAGTCCCCCTTTGGTAAGATAAGCTCCTGAGTGGAGTTCATCACACCCCCATCACGAGCAGCCTGCCGCTTCTGGGCGGGCAGGGCACAAGTGAAAGCAGAGAGCAATTGCTGTTGGTGCTGTAGAACTTGGCTGTGCATCAAACTAATTTTCACCAGTGTTCCTCCTAAACCTCGACCATGGAATTAATAATTTGCCTGTTTATTTATGACCTAATTGTGACTCTTTTATTAATAAAGCTGATGGGAAAGGCTCCTCCCTGAGGCTGATGAGTAGACTCACATTTAACTTCCCCACAGTGTATGAAGCATCAGGCAGAGTATTACAGAAATATAGTATTTTATTGATAAACCTGTCCTTTAAAAGGAACATGTTTTGGGGTGTCATCATTTTGGTGTGAATCATGTAAATGTTGGCTGTTTATTACACTTGAGTGGCAGGACACGCACTCAGCTGCTGTTCTGCTCACACATACCATGTAGTCTGCAGTTTTTAAAGTGACATTAACAGAATAGTTCAGGTAGGGAAACCTCAGAGGTCATCACCTCCCCACTTGTCATGAGTGTCAGCTGCTTTCTTAGCTGAAGTCATCAGAGTATATCTGCATATACTCCATGTATCACCAGAGGCAGTGTATTTGTGAGCTGTCTGCAACTAAAAATTAGAATAAAACCATTTTCTTGTATTACAGTATTTGCCATTTGCTTTGTTGTCGTGTGTGTGGGGTGGGTGGGAAGAAGGGGGATGATGGCTCAGTCAGCCTCTCACAACAAGAGTGTCTCAGGCAGTAGGTTCTGCTGGAAGGCCTCTGCGATGCGGAGTAAGGGGCTTGACACTCCAGGGTCTCGTTGCTGGCCTGCCCTTTGTGGCTTCCAGGGACAAGCAGAAATTCTGGCTGGAAGGACTTGGGAGTAAATAAAGATCCCAGACTGTGTGTGACCCCAAGAATGACTGGGAAATAGTTGGAGGAGTGGTGTTCAGGTTTATATATCAAGGGACAGCACCACACTTGGAGACATAGGTGCTCCCTGTCCAAGCCATGTCCAAGCAAGGTGTTGTCTTTATTTTGTAACCCTGGAGGGCAAACCTAAGTTAGCACTGAGCCCACCCCAACCCCTTACTGGGGGGTTCTGGACAGGCTTTCTACTGCCAACCCATGACTTCTATCTCTAGGCCATGTTCTTCTGACACAGCATGTACTGGACAGTAGGAAACCATGTCATAGACACCCGAACAGGTGCTTGTTTGTCTGCTGTTGGGAGGGGAAGGCATTGTTACTTTCACTGGAAAATGCCATGGTACTTAGGGTCCAGCCTAGGCATGCCATGAAGATGATTGGATCCACTTGGCTCTCCAGAAAACCAGATTGCCTTTTAAATGCCAGACTCTGGTACCTGCTAGCTAGGCTAGAGGCAGCTAGCGGGTGTTCCTCTGAAGGTGTCTGAGACCAGATTGGTAAAGAGAAAGGAGCTGGAACCTGGCTCAATGCACTCACTGCCGGCCTCTCCACGCCTCTTAGTTCGTGTCCTCCCGTGATCCCGAACTGTGCATGGTGGGTAGTGGTGATGTCATGAGGCCACGAAAGAGCCCACCAGTGCTGTGCCCCTCCAAGATGGGCACAGTTCCTCCCCTGTGGAGACATAAGCAACACCAGTCCCTTTCTCATAAGGTCCTAATGGCAAACCAGAGTACAGTTTCATCAGAGTTTGCTCTGGACAAACAGTGAATTTATCAGGTGCCTTATAGAGTGTGGGTGAAGGCTGGCAATGTGGGTGACTCTAAAACAGCCACGCTGTAAAGTCTACACCAGGCATGGATGATGGCTGCATAGACGGAGCCCCATTCAGTTAAACTCCCCTAGTGGTTTTTTTTTTTTAACTCTTGTTCTTTGGGGCCCACCATCCAGCTCCCAAATAAGTACATGGAGATGTATTCTTTCATAAATACTTATTTCTAGCCATCTTTTCTTAAATTACCTTGTCTACCTTTTGCCTCTAGGATTTTACCTTTCTATATATATACTTCTTACTTGGTGGCTTGCTGTGTAGCTGGGTGGCTGGCCCCTGGAGCCCTCCTTTCCTCCTTTTCTTGCTCCTCGATCTCTCTTCCTAGATTTTTCCTCCTATTTATTCTCTCTGCCTGCCAGCCCCTCCTATCCTTTCTCCTGCCTTGATATTGGACATTTAGCTCTTTATTAGACCAGTCAGGTTTTTTAGACAGGCAAAGTAACACAGCTTCACAGAGTTAAACAAATACAACATAATGCAATACTTTAATCCCAACATTTGGGAGGCATGTGGATCTCTGTGAGCTAAAGGCCAGCCTGGTCTACAGAGCGAGTTCCAGGACAGCTAGGGCTACACAGAGAAACCCTGTCTTGAAAAACAAAACATCTTTGCACCATTAGACAAATGTTACACAGCATAAACAAACGTAACACATCTTCAACTAATATTCCATAATACTCCCCAGCCTTTAATACTCCAGCAGCTGCGAGGCTCCGAGACCATTCTCCAGTTAGGGAGGAACTGCAGGCACGCCTTGCCCACTCGAGGGAATATCAACAGTCCATAAGCCACACATATGCTGGGCTTGCAAGCAAGCCCAGCTCTTTCTCTTAGAGGACCAAATTTTATAGCACGGCTGTGGAGTTCAACAGCTGTTGGATTAGGTAGGTCATCTTTCCACAGAGAAGTTTCTGGACCTAGTACCCGCCCTGTGGTTTCATCTCACATCTGCTTTGAGCCTTTCATACTCAGGGGTGAAAGGGGCCCTTGGTCTGGAGAGCCAGGACTTCAGACACAACCCTCACCAACTAGTTCAGATTCCAAAGACTTAATTTGCACAATAATGAGCTAGAAATTTACGGACTCATCTGCGATAATAGTTGTCTTTGCTTTTCTGTTCCTGTAATACACACCTGACTAAAAACAACTTGGAAAGGAAAGGGTTTATTTGAGAGACAGTTTCCATCATCAAGGGAAACCAAGGCAGGAACTCAAGGAGCTTGAAACAGAAACTGTAGGAACACTGTTTACTGGCTTACTTAACTAGCTTTTTTTTTTTTTCCTTTTTAAATACAGCCCAGGCACCACAGTGGACGGGGCTCTCCTGCAGTCCAGTGTCAGAGAGAGGCAATTTCTCAGTTAAGGTTACTTCCTCCCAGTTGTGTTAAACTGACAACCAGGATCAGCCATCACAGTAGGCCAGTTACCAGAGCTTGTTATCCATGAGGCCCAACTCTTTAAAATCCCAAATACCACGGTGATCAGAAATGTGGGTACTGGGGAAAGAATGATGGATGAGCTCAGGGGTGCAGCGCTATGGGCTCGATGAAACCTAATGATCTGTAGCACAGGAGGATGATTTTGGTTGACAGCAATTAATTGTGTATTTCAGAACAGCTAATTGAGGGAGGATTTTGAGGCTCCTTAACATGAAGAAATGATAACTGTTCAATATGATGGATATGCCACAGATCTCAATCTGATCGCACATGTGTAGCAGACTGAAATGTCACTCTAACCCCAGAAATATGTAAAATTATGTCATTTCTTTTAAATTGAAGAAGATATCCCCTGAAGCAAGAGTTGAAAGCAAACGAGCTGGGTGTGGGGCACAAGGCTGTGATGCTGGGAGGTGGAGGCAGACGGGAGTTCAAGGTCATCCTTTGCTATGTACTGAGTCTAGGGCCAGCCTGGACTGCATTATCTCAATAAAACAAAGCAAATCAAAAGTTACAAGGAAGCAACCTTGTACTTCGAAGGCTGTTTTCAGTTCACAGAAAAATGAGTCTAATGTCTCCTCTCCCTGGGAAGAGCATGCTTTCAGAATGTGGCCCCGTCTGCTCTGAAATTCGATTTGTAAACCAGGCTGGCCTTGAACTCACAGAGATTCACCTGCCTCTGCCTGGGATTGAAGGCGGAGCTACCACAATAGCAGGAACAGCTTTATACTGAAATAAATAATAATTACACTAAAACAATTTGGGGGTTCAAATCCTCTACTCTTAAGCAACGATTCAATTCCAAAACAGGTTAGCCATTCCTGCCTTTGAGAGGCGCAGTGCAGCCATGGAGATACCAATGTAGATTCTGGTTGGAGTGGGCAGTTCCTGGGCTGGGGGAGAGACTGACTGGAGCTGTGGGTTTAGAAGGGGTGACAGGAAAGGGAGGAAGAAGCCTGGTGACTCCTTCCTCCCCTCTCAACTTGAGCCGCAGTGTCCTAACCCCTGGCAAGTCAAGAGGGCCAAGAGGCACAGGCCCTGCTTACAGAGGGGGCTTGGGATCTGCAGGGCCACAGTCGGCCCTGACCCACAGGGCTTAGCTTCCCAAAGCAGAGCCAGGCAGAGGTGGAGGCTCCCCCGACCCTTGCATCTAAAGAATGGTCCCTCTTCTAGACTTGGCAATGCAGTCTGTCTCAGGGCTCACTTCAGCCCCACTTGATCAGGTCCATCTGCCAGCTAGCCTGCCTTCCCCCGCCCCCTCTGTCTGTCTCTTCTTTCTAACTTTTAGGACCAGGTTCTTTTTTTTTTTAACTTTATTTTTAATGTATGTAACATTGGTGTTTTGCCTGCATGTATGTGTGGAGGATGCCAGATTCCCTGGAACTGGGATTACAGACAGTTGTGAGCTGCCATGTGGGCACTGGAAATTGAACCCAGGTCCTCTGGAAGAGCATTCAGTGCTCTTAACCTCTGAGCCATCTCTTCAGCCCCCTTGGGCCAGCTTCTTGTGTAGTCTTGACTGGCGTCAAACTCAGTAGCCAAGGATGGTCTTGAACTGATCCTTCTGCCTCTACTCTCCAAATTTTGGGATTACAGGCATTTTGATCCACACCTGGATCAAAACTTCCTTTTTGCAGTGCCGAGACTGCTGAGGGTGGAACCTGGAACCTTGGGCAGGTTATACAAGCACTATACCACTGAACAACAGTCTCCAAATGTGCAGGACACCCATCTGCCCTCCTCTAGTTTGAAAATAGCTGTATAAGCAGATTTCCCCATGGAGGTAAATGTTCTTGAAGATCACGGCCAGACTGTGTTAGTTCCTCTGGAGGTGAGGGTCCGAGTTCTTATTTTACCCAATTAAAATTAATCTTTTAAGAAGGTTCTCACTATATAGACTAGGCTACTCTCCCACTCCACCTACCTCTGCCTCCCGAGTGCTGGGTTTAAAGGCATGCAACTCCATGCCCAGCTTATTTTATTTTTTAAATTTGATTTTCATTTGTTTACATGCCATGTCTGCAGTGCCTGTGGAGGCTAGAAGGGGCGTCAATCACTTGAAGCTGGAGTTACAGACAGTTGAGGGCCACCCTGTAGGTTCCGAGAATTGAACTCCCATCTTGTGCAAAAGGAGCCAGTGCCCTAAAACTCTTGAGTTGTCTCTCTGACCCTATTTTTATGCTTTACATTTATTCATTTACAAGTATGCGTGTGACAGTATGCATGTGTGTCAGCACATACATGTAGTGGTCTGAGGACAGTGTGTAGGATTCTGTTTTCTCTTTATGTCACAGGAATCTCGGGGATCAAACACAGTTCATCAGGCCTGGTGGTGAGCTCCTATACTTTCGGTGCCATCTTGCTGGCCCTCAGATCTGAAGCCTACTAGGTGTCATGGGCTCACCAAGTGTCCAGGCTATAGAGCAGATGGATATCCAAAGACAGGCTCTGGGGAAAAA